TCGGATGCTCCCGCTGTTCCCGCGGTCGCAGATGGCCATCTCCCTTCCAACTGATGTCTGGGTCGTAGTCCTTGTGCCATGGGCGTCCGAGGATCATGTCTTTCTCTGGCCCCATGTCCACAATGTCGAACACCACTTGGGTGGTCTTTCCTGCCACCTCGATGTCGAGTGGTTCTGTCTCTCGTCGTACCCATTGTGTGTCGAATGGTCCTTTGACGACGTGTGGTTGTTTCTTGATCCTCCAAGGGATCCTGGGTTGATTCACAAAGGTGGGCGAGATAAGATCCATCTGCGCTCCTCCATCCACTAACGCGAGGGCTTCGAATTTCCCCCATCGCGCCGTGATCCAGAGCCTGTCGTCTGGTTTGTCGTTTCGTACGGCAGCTACTTCGTGTTCGCTTGCCGGGAGATCGTTGTAAGGCTTCCGTTTGCGCCAGTTCTTCCTGTACTGCGCAACCTGTCTCCGTTGTCGTGGAGTTAAAGGTTTCCGGGCCCCTCGAAGGGCCCTGAGCCGTTTCCCAAGCTCTCGTGGTGTTTCAAGGCGTCCCTGTCCGCACCTTGGCTTGCGGCATCAATCGTTCGGTGTTCTTGGAGCCACTCAACTGCCCATGTCTCGGCTAGTCGCCTTCTGTCTCTCCTGGACGCTCTCGTCCGGTAGTGGTGTTCCTGGTGCTGGGACTGTTGCTCCATGTGTCGCTCCAGTTTCTCATCTGCGTGGATGACGCATTCGGCCTCAATGCAGCTTCCGGCGTCTCCTGCTTCTCTGCATGCTCGTGGCCAGGCATTCTTGGGGCTGACCCTCAGCCTGCCGTCACGAGCCGTGCCCGTGCTCCAGAGCAGGGTGCATGGTGCATTCCCGTGATCGTATACCCAATGAGTGGGTACCTGCTGGCCTTGTCGATTTTGGTGCCTGACAGGCCAGTGTCCATGGTGGAGTTTGTCCTGAAAGTGGTAGCGACATTCGTGTGCTACGCACTGGAACCATGGGAGGTAGGAATGGTCCGCCTTCCTCGGGTCCATTCTCTGATGGTCTCCTTCCATCATTTGGAACCTCCCGTGCACTCCCCTTAGTCCGCCCGTTTCCAGGTCCGACGTGAATTTCCCTGGGCTGAGGAATTGGTGTTTTGCCCAGTAGTGGTTCCATTCCGGGACGGGTTGTCCCTTCCTCTGGGCCTGGCGTACTGCCCATGTGTATTCTTGCTCCGGGTAGTGAATCCCGTTCTCACATTCTTCTGCGTACTCCGTGGGTCCGTCCCACGGGGTGTGGTCGAGTGGGGGTTGTCCTGCGTCTTCGTGCATGTCTTGGACCACTTCCCCAATCCTGCCGATGTGTTGACCGAGAGTTCGGTTTGCGTGGCCGAGTTCCCGTACTCCTTGTCCTACCAGGTCGAATTCGGCACGCAGTTGGCCGTACAGGTTGTTTCTTTCCTCGAGAGTGCGCTCGAGTTCCTGCTTCTCTTCTTGCAGACTGGCGACTTTGTTTCGCAGCTCCACGACCCTGTTTTGCAGGAAAACCAGGTTGGGTCCTGATCCTTCCTCTGCGTCGTCGCGGGTGCGCCACTGTCCATTTTCTTGCTGGACCAGTGCGAGGCCCCATTGCTGAGCCATTTGCTGCGCGAAGAATGGCGGTGCGACTTCTCCCTGATCGTCATGCTCGATGAGATGGTCGTCCGTGTCAAATTCCTCTTCGCTTGTTCGCGCAGGTTCTTCGTAGTCTGAATCCGTGAGCTCGTCTTCTCGTTCGAGCGCTCTGTCGACGTCGACCTCCAGGTCGTCTTGCGTGTAGCTGGCGGCGGCGACTTCCTTGAACTGGACGCCCTTTCCGCCTCTGGCTTGGTCGACGGTGGCGGCTTCCTTTCCTGGAACTGGCCTCCACTCTTTCTTGCTGCGGCAGTCACGTTTGAAGTGACCTTTCTTTCCGCAGTTGTAGCAGGTGATGCCTGATTTGTCCTTGGCACCATCCTTCCTTCCTGCCCATTGCGCTTGGGCAGCGCCGACGTCCATGGGTCCCGAATGAGTGCCGTATGACGTGCTCTGGTGTTGACGCTTTTTTTTGTCGTTGGGTTTGTGACCATCGGTGTGGTAGGTTTTCGCGCCCTTTTTCTGTTGTTTGCGGGCGTACTGTCGTTCGTCGATCCGAATGGCCATGGCGATGTATTCGTCCAGCGTCTCGGGCTGATCCTTCTGATACAGCTCGTCCTTGACGTCCTCCTTCAGGCCGTCGTAGAACATCTTCTTGAGCCCCTCCTCATTGATCTCTGCCCTCATGGAGTCTTGTCGAAACATGGCGGCATACGCCATTGTGGACTTGGTTTGGCGTAGCTTGCTGAGTCGTTCCTGGGCGTGCAGCTTTTCGTCCTTGTCTCCGAACACCTTCTGGATCTCGACCTCGAACTCCGAGTAGTTTTCGAAGACTTGTCTGGTGAAAGGTTTGCGATCTGCCCCCTTGAGGAAGTCGTCTAGCGTTCCTGAGAACCACTTGAGCGCCTTGTCCTTGAGTCGGGTGGCGGCGTACCGGGTCTTGGACTCCTCGGTGATGAACTGGTGGGAGTTGTGGTCGATGTAGTTCCGCATCTCCGTGATCCACCCTGGCAGCGTTTCCCTGTCGCCCCCGTACTTCTCTGGCTGCTCCAGCTTGACCTTTGCTTTGGCCGGGTCTCTTCCTCCAGCCTCAGTCTTGGTCTGCGCGAGCTCGACCTCGGTCGCTGCAAGCTTGGTCTCGGTCGCAGCGAGTTTGGTCTCAGCCGCAGTGAGCTTGGTTTCAGTCGCGGTGAGCTTGGTTTCGGTCTCCGTGACTCGGGCTGCAATCTCCTCGATGGCGGTCCGCATCTGGGCGTTACTGGGCGTCGCGGCAGCCATGTTTCCGTACCTTCAAGCCTGAACTGTAACAGAGTTAAAGGGAGTTAGCAACGTGTGACGAACCTGTCTCTGGACCCGTCCTGTTAGGGTTCAGCTTCGGTCGAAGGTAATCTCTCAAGGGTGCTTAGGTTCGGTGCAGCCAAAAGGTGCACAACAATGATGTCTCAACAGTAGGCTTCTGAGCTTGTAGCGAACTGTAGTGTGGATTGCTAACTGGAGAACTCCCAGAGCTCTCCAGAACGAGTGACTATATACTATCTAATTCCTGGGTGGATATGCCTCCACGAGAGTATATCCTGGGCGGATATACTCGCTATGGTCCATACCGTTCATATCCCTGGATATGCCTTCCTTGGCATCTATCCAGGGTGCTGCATGCCCTGGTTGCAATGATTGGTCCGGGCCGCCTCCTGGGCGTTCCCCTCTGGTCCGCATGCATGCGGCCCAGTCCGTGACACTAAGTCGGGATCGGGGTTTACAGCAGCCGGTCTCCTACCGAGGTAGAGGATTCGCCCTACCAACTCCGGGTTAGTAGGCTGGTCGGTTCTTCCATTCCGGTAGACGGTATCTTTGTAACTTTCTTATTATAATTGTTGAGGTTTGGTAGGAACGGTTCCTTAAGGAAGGCTCCCTTCCGGTTGCTTTTTAGGTTAATCTTATACTAGATATAGTATTGTTTGGTTTATTTAATAAACTGTTTATTCCACTTCTTCTAGTCGGCCGTTAAGGCGAGGAGCGGTATAGTTATAGCTATTTTCGTAGTTGATATAAGTATCGTTTATCTTTCAGCTTTTTATAGTTCGTTTCTAGCTATTGTAAATTCGTTCTCAATATCTCCTAGAAGCTCGATACTAACCGGGCTTATAACTGTTGGAAATCCAACAGCCAGAATAACAGTACTTCTAAACAGGGGTCTAAATATAGTGCGACAGAGGTTACTGTACAGAGGGCATCCGAATCAACTGTAATCGTATTGTCTGAAGAACTTGTGTATATCTAGAACAAACGGAGGGCCTCCTACGCCCCCTGAAAACTCTGTACCCGGGCGTCAATTGTGGGCCCGGTGACCCCCATGTCGTTGACCCGCCGTACCGTAACCTCCAGCCACTATCCACCATACGTTTTGTGCAACAGACTCGGATCGTAAGTGGGGTGGCCAAGGCCTCGGAGGCGATGTCGCATGCATTGTGGCTCTCGAGCGGGGCCTTCCGCGCCTTCTTTATCTCGAAGGCGGCTCCATTTCACCCCGACTTACGAACTTTACCATCTCGAAAACGTGGTCGGAAGATATCGCCGACTGCAAAGCAACGCCATCGACCGACGGGTAGCCTTCCGCTAGTAAGCACACAATGCAATGTGCGCGAGGCTTGATCGAATACATGGGAGAGTCGCATCATGCATATGTACACGGATGCAGGTCGTGCAGTCACCGGTTCACCGAAACCGAGGCGCGACTCGCGAGGGTGCGATGCCGGCCACCCCCAACTGCTAGGGTGAGGTACCCTGAGGAACGAATACCGGTGACCGGTTAACCGACATTGCAAGGGCCGTTGGCGTACACTAACTTAGCCTGGCAAGGAGGCTGTTATTAACGAAATTATCAACAAGGCCGTTAACAGAACTGGTCTGGTTGGCTCCGTGTTCGCTTTCCACCGACTGCACGCAAGCCTTAGAAGTGCGTGCCGGGGTCGATCGATGTCCAACGAGCGGCCGGTTAGCACGGAGGAGGGTCGGCGACTTATGGCCGGGATGAGCGCTATAGTTGGGATAAGGTATGTACATACGAAGTAGAAACGCTGTCTTCCCCGGTGCGGGAGGAAAGATGGAGGATCCACTGCCCGAACTCGAAACAAATGTCATCAATCAGTCTCCCCCCGCCCTGTAGTTACACTCCCACCACCGTGGGAGGCCATAAGCTCGGAACATTTGCCATGGCATCCAATGGCAACACAGATAACCACGACACAGGAAGTCGTTCAAGCAAGCGACCGGCACAGCCGCATTCACGCCCCCAACATACGCGGTACAACCGAACCCCCACCCCAACGCAACCCACCTCAGGCTCAGCGTCCGCGAAGCGGCCAAGTTTGTTTGTTCCTGCGGGCTTACGATTGGCGCTTACGAAGTTCTATGCAGAAGCTCGACCGTCAGTCGCATCGGGTTAGAGCGGTGCTGCGGTTCTGTTTCCGCCCAGCCACAGCCGAGGGGACAAATGTTGACAAATGCACCACGCACTTATTTCGGTCCCGTCATTTTCATGTTTGAGTAGATACATAAGATAAAGGGGATCAGGAGGAACCCTAGCCATTGCTTTTTCCCCCCTCTCCTGTTGATAACCGCTGTTGTTGAGCTTTACAATATTTCCTTGACCATGAGTGCACGAAAACGGGTTATATCTTCTTGCGTACCCTGCTATACTAGAAAACAAAAGGTTGGAGTTGTGACCCCCCCCCCTCCTCCCCCAATCCCCCCTTCTTCCCTTGACCGTTATTACCGGGTTCAAGCCTTTGGGCAGCTAGCCTAATGTATCATAGTGCAATCGGGAATACCCATGCAATCACTGCGCGCGCCGACAATGCACCGAAGACTGCGTCTATCACTCCACGACCGAGACCCAGCCGTCGAGTCCGGGTGTGCTACCCGAGTCTCAAGCAGAGGATAGGTCGAGAGAGAGTGCGGCGAAGAATCAACGGGGTCGGCAACTATCAGGCCCACGAAATGAGTGGAAGACGCGGCAGTCCGCCAAATCTGTGACCCCCACGGCGCCATGGTCTGGTCCATCGCTCGCCGAATCGTTTGGTTACTCCGAAGGTAGCGCTACCAACACGCTGGCCCTGATACAGAGGGTGGGTACCTACCCCCGTGTCACCAAGCGTTGAGACACAAGACATTGATTTGATTTCCTTTCTAGCTTGGGCTGGCCGGCCCCGACGGCGCTGGTGGCAACTCTCCCACCCTCAGCCCGGAAGCCGCTGACGAGGTCCATCGCAACATGGAACGGATGCCCGATCATCAGATCGTCGATTTTCTAGTACAATACTTTGTAGCTGAGGTTAACTGGTTCGTGTTTCAAGTCCTTTTCCCTCCTCCTAATATCACCTCTCCCCCCCCCCCCTCCCCCCCCCCGATTCCTCCCTTCGGCGCGCCTAACGCAAGATCGGATAACAGGATGGACCAATTAGTGCACGTTCCCTGGTTCCTACCAAAATATCATTCGTGGTGGCTCCTGGAACGGGTGACACTCGTGGCCGAAGCCGACTTCGTCATCCTGATCTTGCGCATTTGCTCATACACCTTGCGCTTTCTTCCATCCCCCGGCTACCCGCTCGACAAAATCCGCGGAGTACTACTCTCCGACGTGCGCAACATGTGCGACGAGACAGTCGAGAACCTCGCCACCATCAGCACAGCAGCAGACAGCCGAGCTTCCCTGATCCGAGTCCAGCATCTGGCCTTCCTTGGCCTTCAACACCAGGTGGAAGGAAGGACTAGCGCTTTCTGGGAGGCGCTGAGCCGCGCCATCCGGGTCGCGCAGAACGTCGGCTTACACCGGGAATTTGCCGCAAGGCCATGGGAAGGTGTCGATAAGACCGTCCGAGAGATGGAACGCAGGACGTTCTGTAATCTCTATGTTTGGGACAGTCTGCTTTCCCGCCAGCTCGACCGCATCCCCGTTTTCCCGGGACGCCTTCGCCCGGGGAACCGGCCGCAGCTTCACCTCCTCCGGAACGGAGACGGCATAGAACCGGCCGCCGTTGATGCGCCCGATCAATTCACCGAACGGTTCCTCCAAGCTGAGCTAGCCGAGTTCTGGCGCGGCGTCGGTCCTATACAGGGGACTGAGTACGACATGATGTCCGCCGAAGAGCGATATGACAAGTTTTGCCGCCACTACCCCGCGCAGTTGCCGCCGCCTTTCGCCCTCGCAGACCCCGACGAGACGTGGGACAAACGGTTTCCCAAGCTGCCGTTGCAGCGGAAGCTCCTCCACATGGCCATTTACGAGTCGATATGTTGGAACTTTCGGCCGCTGCTCGTGGCGCGGCCCGGCGCCATCCACGCATGCAGGTCCATGTTGTTGAGCTTACAGAAGAGGAAACTTGCCGCCGCGGCACTGTATGTCCTGGAAAGCGCCACGCAGGTACACGCCTTGTTCGGGGGTTGCCTCACCCGCCTTTCCGGGCTCGTGTTTTCAACCTTCGAGGCGGCAGTCCTCCTTGTGTCTCTGTCCATGGACCCAATGTTCCCCGAAGAAATCCCCCAGCACCACATCCCTCCACCCGGGACCCTCAAGACAGACCCCTTACAAGCGCGAATGTACGTCGTCACGCAGCTCGGGTGTTTGCAGGCTGCAAAAGCAGCACTTCAGCGCCTAAAGATGCTTTCCGCAGTGAGCAACATGGCCGATGTAGGAGCGAGTACTCTGGCCCAGCTCCTGGGGAGAGCCTCAGAGCTTAGAGCACACGCCGAAGAGGCCGCAGACGTGGCGGCCATGGCGGCCCATAATCAGAGCATGGGGAATATGAACACCACAGGATGCGCGACCACGGCTATTGCGGCGACGGCTGCGATGGGAGGCACGTCAGCTGCCGGCGAGGTGGCTTCTTGGGTCTCTGCTGACCTGTCGGATCTCCGCTCGGTGAGTGACATTACCTTGATAGCGGGGACAATTGCCGCAGGGGATATGGCGAGTTGGTCTTCTTTTGATACCTGGAACAACTATATGCAGGACACACCTATGGAACTTTGGGCGGCGAATGAAGCAAATGCTACGTAGGGCCCGATTAGACGCCGCAAGCGTTATTCTCTGCGGAGAATTAGATGGCCATACACGAGCAACCGGATGTCGTATTATGTTTGAGTAAATACAGTTACTTCACACTTGCACGCTTCGTTGTTGCTATTATCAAGAGTTTTGAATTCGAGTAGCAACTCACTGCGCCAGCATTACAACACCAGTCAGTCTATACCCCTGAAATCCACCCTGAGCACATTTGGGATACCGATGAGCACGGTCTTCCGCCATCTGCTTTGCTCCCTCAAAACGGGTATCACATGCGTGAAGGAACTATCACGGGGCGCTGCACAAGAAATGGCACATCAGGATTCGGGGTTTATTTATGAACGAATAAGGTTCTCCCCGTAGCTGCCCTGCATCCTCCCACTTGTGACTCCGCTGGACCATTTATGTCCCCTCGGTGTTACACTCTTCAGATCCTTCCGCTACTTATCTACCAGTCCTCTTTGAGATGTCTACTTGGCAATAACCGCCCTCACTCCCTTGCTTCCCCAAACTGGGAACGGATTAAAAAAGTCATGGTCCCAAGCAATATCCGCTTCGCTCGTCTCATGGAGTTGCATATGCGGGTAAACGCGGTCAACCAACAATGCAAGCAGCAGATACAGTTCGCAATGGGCCAGACTGTGCACGTATGTCAGCACCGTTGCATACATGTCGACAAAATGGAGCCGGTACAAACTTACTTTATGCCAATACAGCCACGGCTTCCTTTTGAGAAAGACAGGAGGGCGCGGTCGAGCTCCTTTCTGTGCTGGTTGCTTTCATCCAACCACCGTTCCGGGATGAAAGCGTGCGAATCGGGATAAATGCTTTCGTCGTGATGCGTGATCACAGCCGACATGCCAACTGCATATCCCCTCGGGATCACATGCTGGACGCTGACTGGTGTTGTACGGCCCTTGGGAATCCAACTTCCACTGTAAGCCAAATCTTCGCCGGGAGCAACACGAGAGGTTCGGCTCGCAAGGCCATACGACAGCCGCAGTCCCTCGTGAATGACAGCGCTGAGATATGGAAGCTTCTCCACGGCAGCCCAGTCCGGGACCTGGCCCGAGCTGTTAACGGCGCCCCTTACTTCGGCAGTAAGCCTTTCGAGCACCGACGGCTTGGTCAGAAGGTGGTATGTGATGACGGTCAAAGCCCAGCTGACAGTCTCTGTACCAGCCACAAACAGCGAAAAGCCCTCCTCGACCAGACGCTGTAGGGCCTTCTCGCTCGGCGGCAGATTGGATTGCAACACAGATCCGAACACTGTTGTGCCTTCGTCTATGCCCTTGTCGACTCTAGCTTGCGCGCTCTTGACGTAGTTGGGCATGTCAACCTAACAATGCCGTACGAAGTCAGCCTTTGATCCCCTAGATGATATACGGGGTCCTTACAATCAAAACGCTGAACAGTGATTCCATATCTTCCGACAAGCGCCGGGTGAACCTGTCTTCTGGTCAACACTCTCATGCACGTGGGAGAGGAGGATTGTTGCCATACATTGCCATGGCGAATCCCAAATGCCTCATCCAAGGGAAGAACCGGAACAGGTACACGAGCTTCAGCTGGGCGTACAGTGGTTCTCTAAAGTTAGGTTCCCACCCTTTCTGCGCAACCAGGCCGAGGTTCTCTCCGAGGCAGTAGCCGCTGATGACATCGGTGGTGAATAGACTCAGTGCTGTGGTGACATCGAATGGTTCGTCCTTTCCAAGGGTTAAAATCTTCTCGCAGAGGGATTCAGCAAGGTCGCGGATGGTCGGTTCGAGACGGGAGACTTGGGCGCGCGAGAAGAACTTGGAAAGAGCTCCTCGTCGCATACGGTGAACGTCGTGGCTGGTGGTTGAGAAGGTCGCGTGCTCCGCGCTGCATATCGGGGATGGACGTCAGCACAACAGCCGTGCGGTCCATCGAGATATCTCGGTAGGGACCTAGCTACTTACACTCCGCTGCCCTTGACCTGGTGCACGGGCTTGTCGCGTTTCCTGCTTCCCCCAGCGTAGATCTCGTCGATGAAATGGCGATCATTGCAATGGACTTCGTCGGGATTAATGCGGACGAGGGGGCCTGGGATGGGGGTTGTTAGTGCTAACATGGGATACAGATGCAAATTGTCATACCGTATTTCTCGTGCATCTTTTGGATCTGTCGCGTGTAACGTCCAGATCTCGCCCAGTCGTAGTAGAGCTCTGGAAGATATGTTCCCGCTGAGAGCCATGGTCCGGGAATATGCCGCAGAGGGTGAAAATAGAGGTTGTAGATCAGCTTGGCCAAGTTGTAAATCGCCCACGTTGTTGCCAGTATCAAGAGGAGGGACTTTGTAGTGTCGTATGCCCTAAAAGAGACAACATCTCGAAATTGGAACGACATTCTCGCAACCAACACACAAGAGATGGACGGTTCACTAGCTTCGAGACAACGTGTTTGTCCTACAACATGAAGAGACTCGCAGAGAGTATGCGACGTGCGATGATGCAATGATGCGTCCCGAGGTCAACGAGTGAGAGAGAATAAATGCGACTCCTAGCATGACTTGTGGCGCTTCATCTTCATGCCGTCGTCTTGCGAGATTCCCATCACCCATCTACCTAGGTACCTACCTACTCAGGGAAGTCCGTCCCGACTTGGCGTGTAGGCTTACGCTGTAGACCCGGCTCACCTGTGCCCGGAATCGGATGGGCTGTCCGGGCAGGCAGTCTCTGGCCGAGCCATCGAAGCCGAGCCGTTCGGTGGTGCCGCGCCGCGTTCCCAACCCAATAGGATGGCTTCTCCACCCCTCTCTCAACCTCGTCGGCCGAAAATCATGAGTGGGTCTTTTCTCGCCCGACGCCCGGAGCTTGGTCCCACGAGGTTTCAATGCAACCTTGTTCTGAAGAGGAAAGGTTGATGCATACACCCCTGTCGCCGATCCGATCATCCCGGACATGGTGGCGGCACTGGGCTACTCTGTCCACAAAACAAGGGGGAACGAGATGCGTGTCTGAATCATGTTCGTAATGATCGGAGCCAGGGACGAACCGGCTGTTGATTGTTATAGAAGTCAACTATTTGTTTTGTAACGTTGATGTGGAAAAGGAACGGAAAAATGAGGAAATAGAAAGCAGGATAAAAAGAAGAGGAGATAAGGGGTTTCCTTCAAGTGCTGTTATCCTTGTTGTATCCTCCAACCAACTTTGCCCCGATGTCTTCAAAGATAATCCATAATATTGACAATAATTGAGGCACGTATAGGCGCCCGGCCAGAAAGCTTACAGAGCCGAATTCACCCATGGAGCTGACCACCCGTCCTGAGACCTGGAGGTAAAGACCAACCACCTCTCCAGACTTGCGACAAAGGCCTCCCCCAAATCGGCATCTATAACACAATCTTGCCAGGAACAAGTGACAACAAGGTCTCCACCCTTGATGCTCACAGTGGAGACATTGATGGCGGAAGCAACCACGTTAGCACACATGATGAACTGGGCACGTGTAGCAGACCAAGCAGACGCCTCTGGCTTTGTACCCGAATCATCAGCCCGAGACGAGACGGGGCCGGGGCTACCGTCGACCAAGCCGAGGTTGCTGATGACCCATGAGCAGCGTCTCGGCCGCAGGGCCTCTTTGCTGAGCTGGGCGCGCCAGTCATCGACAGCCTGGGCGAATCCGTTCACGTCATTCTTGACTCCTCGGTTCAGCTTGGCTTCGAGGTCGCGGCGCACCTCTCTCGCTGCCGTCCACACCAGGTCCGTCGGGATGCCGAAGGGGAAGCTGTCCGGTGCCTCGAAGGTATTGGAGCGAAGCTGCGCAACAACATCCTCGTCGAACGTGTGATTGGCGATGGTCACGTAGTTGGACACGGCCCGGGCCGGCCGGAACCCCGGGTACGAAGGGTAATGAACAGGCAAAAGAGATCGAAGATCCATGGCTGTCATACACTCGAATGCTGTAGCCTCGGATGGGCCAAGGAGAGGGGTAAGCGAGACGAATACCAGTGCGTGAAGAAGCCCGGTGAGTGTGGTTTGGTTGTTTCGGCAAGCCTCCAGGAGCTCGGCAAGCATGGTGTTCGGGATCGTAATGGTACGGAACTGTGTCTTGAACGGCGATTCTGCAATGGGGGCCCAATGTGCCTGAGTGGGGGTTTCTGGGTACCCAGCTTCAGCTGGCATTCGGACCTCATGTTGTACGTAATGGAGGAGAGCGATAGGGTCGACGGGGAACTGAGCCAGGTTCTCTGCCGGTGGACTGAGCGATGCAGTTGAGCCCGCTGGGAGCGTTAAGACGTGATCTCTCAGAGAACCCTTGTCCAATGCCGGATCATCGTCGTGGAGAGATCTGAGTAGATCCTCATGGAACGTTCTTGCGCTGCGGCCATCCATGTTGGTGTGGTTAAAGACGAGGAGGACTTCGATGGCATCTTCACCCTCTTGGCGGAGGACCTCGATTCTCCATCCCGGCGTGGTCCGGTAGTTGGTGAACTTGGCATCGAGTTGTTGGTACGACGTATCCACAAATGCCTTCTGCAAGTCGCTGGTACCTCCTCCCACAGTGCGCCACTTAATATGGTTCCGAAGATCCAGACGTTCGAGACGGACCCAGCAGGGCTTGTCAGTGTCCTCGCCCACCAATCCAACGTGCAGGTGCGGGTGTTTCAGCACAACGCGAGCGACGGCTCTCTCGAAAGTGCTGACCAGCTCGTGACCTGCCGTGCGAGAGGCTAGCTGTGTTGGTATCTTGTATCGATATGCCAATATGATGCCGCGCATTTGGTTGAGTGTCTGAAGGGCTAACTGGTACGATTCACTGGGTTACAGAGATCGTCAATTCTCTCGTCGCCAACCAATCGGTTCCGGCTGGATGGAACCTACATGCATCCCAATCTGCGGACGATGCTTGCACCGGCAGCAGAGGCAGATTGCCGGCATGGCCGCACATCCGTGATCGTCTCCTCCCTGCCGATCCACCCAGAAGTAACATTCATTGGGAATTCCATTGGAGCAGCGATGTAAGTGCAACGCCAAACGTGGGAGACACTGTGTGGACAGGCGGTAAATTAAATGACTTGGAGACAACGTGGGCATGAGGTGAGACATGTCCCACACCGCAGCGGGTGAGGGACCTTAGGTATAGGGAGATGGCTCACCTGTCATTCAGGGCCTGGTGCTATGGGAACGCCCCTCTGGTTATCCATCGACACCCTGGTTCATGGTGAGCGGTTGGCCGAAATCCAATCAGATCGAGGAACCGCCTCGGCCGAGCCTTTGGGTGCCCCTGTCAAAACTTCGGGCATAGACTGGGCGCGGCAGCCTGACACCCATCATGGCATGGGCTGCAGAAATTTCAGAAACGTGGTGGAAGACCAATATGTCTGCAAAACGCATGAGATTCAACAGCTTTCGGCCCAACTAAGCTTGTCCCCGGGCTGAGGTCACAGCGGGGGGTCACAAACAAACAATTACTCGCAAATTGTGCCACAGGTTCCGTGGTTCCCGAGACGGCCGACTTTGAAATGGACCAGAGGAAATGTTTTGACACGGATGAGGAAAAGAAGGGGTCAAGGTGCATTAGTAATGCAGTGTATCAGTTTATATCCTTTTGTTTGCGTGTGTGTAGGTACCTATCTAGGTATGCAAGGAACGCCTCGATTCGTCTGACCCCCTTTGCATCATCGTCAACCTCGCCTCACTCCCTCTCAAGAAGCCGCCTTTTTTTCCAAGGTTACAGGTTGTTTTGCCATTTCTTCGCCGAATCTGTCCCTCCTGGGCCGGGCTAACTCGTCACGTCCCAGTACTAGTTAGCTAGGGCGTCTTATGCGACATGGCCGATTTATCGTCGAAGTCGGATAATGAGAAGCCCTCCCAGAGCGACGCGTCTCTGGAGGTAGTGCGAGCGAACGAAGTCCCGCGCAGCGAACACCATGATGAAACGACAAAAGATACCCCGCAGGCCTCGCTGCCGAGCTCGGACGCAAACATCGCGGAGGACGAATCCCAATATCCCAGCGGGCTCAGGCTGTGGCTTGTCATCCTTTCGTTATGCCTTTGCATCTTCCTCATCGCCCTCGACCAAACAATCATCGCGCCAGCTCTCGGGGCTATCACCGCCGAGTTCAACTCGACCAAGGACATCGGCTGGTACGGCGCGTCATATCTCCTGACGACAACAGCGATGCAGCCCATATACGGTGTCGTCTACCGCCTATTCGACGTCAAGCTTACCTATCTCGGCGCCGTCGGTCTGTTCGAGCTCGGGAGCTTGGTCACGGCCGTCGCGCCGACCTCGACAGCTTTCATTGTTGGACGCGCCGTTGCCGGCCTGGGCACCGCCGGTATCTTCTCTGGCTCGTTTGTTATTGTGGGATACATAATGCCGCTCCGACGGCGGCCAGCCACGTTCGGCCTGTTCGGTGCTTTGTGGGGGATCTCCTCAGTTGCCGGACCGCTGCTCGGGGGCGTCTTTGCTGATCAGATCACCTGGAGATGGTGTTTCTACATTAACCTGCCGCTGGGTGGTGCCGCTGTGGCGGCGGTCATTGTGTTCCTGCGCGGCGTTTCGAGCGGCAATGACCCAAATCGCAAGTCTTTCTTTGCTCGGATTCTACAGCTTGACCTGGTCGGGGCTGTTATTCTGGTCCCGTCCATCATCCTGCTTCTTGTTGCCCTCCAGTGGGGAGGGGTGGTGTACCCATGGAGTGAAGGCAGGGTCATCGCCTTGTTAGTCGTGGCTGGTGTTGGCGCCATTGCTTTCGTCGGCGTGGAGATTTGGCAGGAGGACAAGGGTCTCCTTCCTCCCAGGTTCTTTAAGAACCGCAACGTCTTTGCTGCCATGATGTTCGCCCTGTTCTTCGGCGCTTCGTTCTACCCCATGGTCTACTATCTCTGTGAGTGCAGGCTGTCCTTGTTCCTCATCGATTTTGTACTGACAAGCACTACAGCGCTGTACTTCCAAGCGGTACAAGGGGACAGCGCGATACAAGCCGGGATCAAAATCCTCCCCTTCCTCATCGCTATGGTCATCAGCTCGGTTGGGAGCGGTTTCTTGGTCACTGCCATCGGCTACTACAATCACATCATCCTCTTCGAAACGGCGCTTCTCACAGCGGGTGCCGCGCTTATCGCGACGTTTTGGCTCGGCACCCCGTTGAGCAAGTGGTTTCCCTCCCAGGTGCTCATGGGTCTGGGCACCGGCATCTGCTTCCAGGCCCCTATCATCGCGGTGCAAAACGTGCTGCCGCCCCATCTCATTCCGCAGGCCACGGCTTGCACACAGTTTTTCCAGGCACTTGGTGGCTCAGTGTTTCTCGCCGTGGGACAGACGGTCTTCCAAAATGGACTAATTGCCAACATGGCACGCGATGCGAAGGGTATCGATCCTGCTGAGATCCTCAACAGTGGCGCCTCGCAGATCCACCAGCTCGTGGGGGAAACCATGGGCCGTGAGGATCTAGTGGACGTCGTCCTGGGGGCTTATGTCTTGGGTCTCCGAAACTCGTACTACATCAGCGTCGCAACTGCAGCTTGTGCTTTCCTGGTTTCTTGGGCGCTCGAGTGGAAGAGAATACAGGGTTCGGGCGAGAAAACGGAGGAGGTTACTAGCGTGGAGTAAACGATAAATATGGATGGATGTTGGACAGACCGGAACAAGCTTTGTGGGAAGGGGAACGGACAGTGTATAGCGTTTAGTCCGGTGCGTCTCTTATAAATGACACTCTGAATTTAAGTAGGTACCTAGGTTCGTTCCCAAGACGCATGTCCCCGCGGGGGGTAGGCAAGTCCAGTTCCACAAAAGAGATGAACCAAGTGCCGTGTACGGGCTTGATCATAGCCAGTCTGAACTGACGAAAGACCACAGGATGGTTTGGGGTTACCGTTGCACACATTCCGGCGCCTGATCAGCGTGCCGAGTCAAGCCAGAGCTGCGCTGTGCCTGTGCGACGCCAGACCTTGCATTCGACGGCAAGTCGAGCGGGGGAGATGGCATTTAGCGACCTTCTAGGCACCGTCACGTGGGTTTGAGGCGACTGTTGAATTTCCGCCTTTGGTGGGCCGTTGACTGCCAGAATGAGGGGGGGACGCGAGGTGATACTTGGGAAGTTGGGTGCCCGTCGTCGGGTTCCATTTCGTGCGCGTTCGGAAACAACAATTCGCGAATCAAAACGACAATCCATTGATTCGCCTAAGAGAACGTCAATTTTCCACTGCATACCTAGTGAGCGAGTCTTGATTCTCATTACAGACCGCACTATTAAACGCGGAGAAGGCCGATTTAGCATGGCGACCCCAAGCGCGACCCCAGAGCTCTGCCCAGATTGGGTGCTCGCGAGCGGCTCCAACGTGCAGTAGGTTTCCATTCACAGCGAATACCGGGGGCTGTAGGGTGAACTTGCGAGCGTACGAAGAGGCTAACGCTTCCCTTTCGTCCAGCGTCGCGCGTGACCGGGCCTGGTTTTCCACGTATACACCGTTCCCGACCTCCACCACATCGTATATCGTGTCGAACCCTATGGGTGCTCTCGGCGTCGGCGATGTTCGCCTCCCAGTCAAACTGTTCCCGAAGCGGTCTGGCCCCAGTGCTCACGGCACGCTTCACCTGCGGAACGTCCTCCACGCGCCCAACTACATCTGCAACGTTATCGGCTCCCCGGATACTGGCGATTACTCCCAGATAGTGTTGGGAGGCCTTGGAGATAACGGCAAGGATGCGGCGATTACCGCAGAGAATGGCCGACGACTCGGATACTTCGTCAAGGGCCGCCGGTGGGTCCTTTTACTGAGTGGGCCTCCTGTCGGCCCTGTTGTTGGCCCTTCCAAGTTGGATCCAGATGGATACTATATGATCAATGCACAGTGGCCTGCCTCGGAACGCCAGAGATGGGCCCTAGCCCAGGGTAGTCAGTCCGGTTTAGGCCACAACACCAACCACGGGGTGTCTGATAGCGGCGAGGGAAACGACGAGTCCGAAGCTGCGCAGCCAGAGCTGTATACGGAAGCGGAAAAGAGCTGGCTGAAACGGGAGTGGGGAGGTGAGTTCAAGTTCCTCACCGCCCATGGACTGAGTATCTACAAGGATGAAGACCGGGAGGAGGGAAGAAGAATCGCAAGGGCGATGATGGGGGTAGACGAAGATGGAGATATCAATATGTAGGTAGAAGGCGGTCTGATGGTGCGGCACTGATCGGGCGTCCGAGGAACTCCACCGCGCGGATGATGTGATGATAATGATGGGGGGAGATCACCTCCTGTACAGGCATGGAGGTTGAAGCCAAGTTTCTGCAGCACAGGACTTCGTGCTGTTTCGCTCCTAGCAACAGACACCGCTCTAAATTACGGCATCGACTTTGTTATGTTCTTGCTATTACGCCAGGAAATGATGGGGCCCATTTCGATGGCCACAACCTCTAGCGCGGCATCATCCAAGTCCCCGATTGTGGTTTCTATCCCCGTCATGAACCACCCATCAGTGACGGAGAATACTGGCGTATACGGCGCCTCTACTCCTCGAGTCCTGTTTGTATAACCTCCGGACGGCCGTCCCCCATACACAATCAAGGTCGATGTCTATACCCGTCGTGAGTGCATAGGATTCAATGTCCCCAGTACCGTGGCGTGTTCGAAGGGCCTCTCAGTCTCCCCCAATCCTACGGTCGTTAATAAATAGCTCCGTGCCTCCCTTTCCCATCCTCGCCTCCACAACCAAGGCCTTGGTCGCCTCTTCCCCCGGATCTCGTTCGACCATGGTCTGACTGTGCGTGATGACCACGATCCAGCCGACCACCGTCTGCGACATGATGCCGCACCACCTGGCCACAGCCGCCTGGCCCGCCTTGTCGAGGTTATCAAACACCTCGTCGACGAGGACGTAGTGGGCACGGTGCGCACTCCTAGCCCGCGCCAGCTGCAGCAGCGCGAAGAAGAGCGCCAGGTCGACGCGTTTGCGCTCGCCGCTCGAGCGCTTGTTGTAGGCGAGCGAGGGGTTAACGGCAAGGGTGGCGTCGAGAACGGACTCCGAGGGGGATGGATCGGCCGTATCGTCGGCAGACTCGGAGTCGAACAGCGACCGCAGCATCCCCGTTGCGACGTGGGCGTGGTGGCGCGTGTCGTCGTACAGCACCATAAGGGCCTGCGCCAGGAGCGCGTTGAGGTCCGATATTGACTTGACGAGGATGTGCTCGCGGAAGTTAGCCGCTGTCTTCGCAGTGGAACTGGGTGAGGAAGATGAAGAGGCGCGACGGGTGCGCTTTGCCAAAGCGGAGGACCAAAAGACGAAGAGCTCGCGATTACCCGCAAGCTCTTGAAGCTTATTGGAGAGCTCGTCGTGTTGCAAGCGGAGTGGGTGCAGTGATGACTGCTCGTTTTCTACCAGGCGCTTGTATGTGGCTGCGTCGCCTTGCTTGATGGTGGCCTCTTGCTGTAAGGCTTCGCATTTCTTTTGAGCCCGGATGGTCTGCGCAAGCTGCTCGTTAAGCATGGCGGCGTGGTTAGTGCTCAACTTTGCCTCCTCATTCTTCAGGCTCTGCAACCGCGACATGCTTTCCTTGATATCGCGGCGCAGACCGTTGATGGCCTCCTCTTGCTCATTCTTTTGACTGCTGGTTGCTTCTTGAGGACCGTCCTTGGAAATCCCGAATACGCGCAAGAGGCTCCTGGCGGTCATGAATAGGAAGTTGAGAGTAGATGTCTCGATGGCGTGAAAGAACTTGCGCAAACCTAAGGGGTGAGCTGCAGCTATGACCGCGTGTCGTTGATTTAGTCGCTGCTGTAGCCGGTCCAACCATGACGTCGACTCCGGTGGCTCGGCACGCTTCGAGTATTCATCCCGCATCCGGGCATAAGAGCTCTTCCGTCGCTGTAAACTTTCCTCCTCAGCCTGGATTTGATTCTGGAGGGTCGAAATCCCAACGCGAAAGTCCGCGTTAGGCTCGGGTGCCTGGACTCTCTTGCTTGTAGATTCTTGAATGGCTGCCTCTAAAGATGCGACAGCCTTCTTTGCCTCATGCTCGAGTCGTTTCTGTGTCCGGTCCAGATCTTTGAGCCGTTGCTCGTTGTGTTTCATCGTCCAGGCCACTCCTTCTAGCTTACCCTCCATCTTGTTCACGTCGGTGTCGATGTCCTTGAGCAGCAACCTCGACAGCTGCCCACACTGATCCAACACTGACAGCCCGAGCGATGCCTCGATAAGATCGCGCCGCTGCGTTGGTGTAGAGTTCAGAAAGCTCGCTGCACTCTCGTGACTCAACACGACCGTCCTAACGTATGTCTCGTAATCGGTGCCAAGCAGCTCGTTGATGGCCGCTTGCGTTGAACGGGCGTCTGGGTGTTCGAGCTGCGGCTGTGGCTCGCCATGCAGCGAGATGACAACGCGGTTTTTGTGAATCTTGTGCTTGCGATACCGTGCTATGGTGTATCCATTGGCGAACTCCAGCACGACGGAGCAGTTCTTGCCTGCATTGTCGTTGACGACGTCGTTGACGGCTAGACCGCTGCGAATACACCGCCCGAATTGACACCACGCCATGGCCTCAAGGAGCGTACTCTTACCGGAGCCATTGTCGCCAACCAGGAAGGTCAATCCGCGCGGGAGGTCACGTCCGAAGTCGATGGTGATGGTGTTCTGCACACCGAGAAAGTTGGTGATGGTAAGTCTGCGCGGCTCCGCGACGAAGATGTGGGTAGAGGGTCCTGCCATCTCGGTGGCAGTCCTTGTGCCGATGGCTTGAGGTGACCTATCAAGGAAATCTCGGTGGTTAACCTTGACTTCGCTATCCTCACCACCGATTTCGCGGGAGGCTTGGATCATTCGTTGGCCAACCTGCACTAACTCGTCTTTTCGCGAGAGAAAAGACTCGTCCAAGTCCAGCGACTGGACAAATTCGCGAGCCTCTGCGGCGAAGTCGAGTCTTTCAGCCCGAGGTTCGGCGCCAAGGTCAGAGCCAGGGCCAAAGGCCGATTCGCCGGCGGTTGTTGTGGCTGGACCCGTCTCATCCTTGGTGGGCTCCTCCAAGGGTTGGACGGCGGCATCACTCGCTGGCACCGACGTGCCGAGACCACCGAATGAAGATCGGTCGGCGTGCGAGGCAAATCCAGTAGAAGTCCAGTTTCGCACGCTCCGCACGCCCAGCGAGAGAAGCTTGTCACGGGCCGCGACGTATTTGAGATGGGTAAGCTTGCCGATGAGCATGACATGTTTGTCCGTCACGGCACTCTCGTCCACCTCGCCGCCGAGAACTTGTTCCACGTCAGCTGTTGTGTAGCCGACAGCATGTGGGTTAATGAGCAATTCGTGCTCCAGCGTCTCCGGGTCGAGCAGCACGACGCCCCGCTGTTCGTCGTAGAGGTCGGCCCAGCTAAGCTGCAAGGGCGAACCCAAGTACGTGAGGCTCCCTCGTAGATCGGCCTTCTTACTGCCGGAGTGTTCTTGGGTGATGGTCTGGTGACTGTGGAAATGCCCCGTGAAGGTTCGGGCCAGAGATGCGAACGGACCCGGGCCTATCAGGCCGTGGTACCTAATGGAGCTCGCCACGCGAGGCTTGTTGACGCCATCCCCAACCACATACCGCTGCGTGATGGCCTTGTTGATTGCAAGATGGGCAAAGGCAACCGTTTTGCTCGCCTCGTTGGGCCCTAGACCAGCCACGGCTTCGGTCAGCTCGTTCTGCTCCTCGCGAAAGGGCAACAGTAAGACGCGTCGGCCATCCCACTCGTGCTGAGATACGACGCTATGTACCGAAACGTAAGGGTCCAGGCGCTTGATATTGAGGGCGTTTAGGGCCGTAGTCTGGTAGTCGCGACGGTAAGCGAGATCATGGTTGCCGAGCACGATTTGAACTCGCGGCACGACGTCACTGAGGAGGCTGATGAAATGGTAACATGAAGACAACACATGCGTCGGCTGCATCGTGCGGCTCGTCAGCAGGTCGCCGCATACCACCACCCGCCCAATTCGGTTTCGCTCCGCCTCCTCAACGATCCATTGCGCCGTCTGCCGCACCCGATCCAAGTCATGGTGCTTGAAGTGGAGGTCGCTGAGGAGCAACCATCGCACTGCTGCACTGGCCGGCCGGCCTCGCATGGCTCGCTGCGGCCGAAAGGAAGGTGAAAGACACGGTAAAATGGGGTATTGTGGACATCTGAAAGAGGGAGAATTAAGGGGGATGGAATACTCCCTAGGTGGCTAAAGCGATAGAGCACCTACCAGGTCATGGTTATGTTTTACCTTGGTTATGTGGTTTCTCGATTTAGCGCAAACGACGGTTACCTTCGTTCAGTCCTGTGGCGAGTGCAGGGGCCCAGACACCGTCAGAGTTGGGGTTAGGGTTAAGAAAGCCCCTTTAAACTGCTCCTTAGATTCACACACCTCATGTTTTTCTCAGCTGAATCTGGTGATTCTTCTCGCGAGGCTCACTCTCATCCATAAGGCAACCTTCTATCTAGCCTATTTTCTTGGCTGAGTCACTACCCTCTTCTCCTATTACCCGTTCAATGCTGAGCTGTTGTCCCGTGCCTCCAGGTTTCTCGGGGGCGCCCGCTGTGGTCATTTCGTGACACTCGTCGAACTAGCCGTCGAGAACTTGCTATAGTCATTTGTTAGTCGTAGCCATTTGTCAGGTACATTCCTTGGTTTGTCAGTCAGGCTAATCGTCACCAAGCCCATTTGTCAGTTATATCTTGGTATCTGTTTGTCAGTGGGGGCTAAACGCCACCAAAAAGCCATTTGTCATCGCAAAGGACGGGACGGGAGGCAGGCACACGGTTTTTAGTGGTCTAAGGAGTAGCACTCTAAATTGTGTATATATGACCTCAGGGTCTCTCCTTAAGCAATGAAGCTAGAAAATATCCCTTCTCTTTAATACCTACATTTACCACCGTATCTCCCACAGCCTTACTACCTCCACTACCTACCTACCTCTACCTACCTACCCAAACTGCATTCTTGTTCTCAAGTAGACAGTTCACAGTTCCCTACTTCCACGCAACTCCAACGCAGAATGCCCGTCATGACCAGGCTTCATGGAAAGACCGCCGTAATCACCGGCGGCGCTACTGGCATCGGCCGCGCCGCAGCAAAGCGCTTCATTGAGGAAGGCGCCTTCGTCTTCATCCTGGGTCGCCGGCAGGAGGCGCTCGACGCCGTTGTGGCCGACCTGGGGCCCAATGCCCGCGGAGTGAAGGGCTCGGTCTCCGATCTAGCCGACCTCGACCGACTCTACGCGGCAGTAAAGTCCGAGCGCGGAACCGTCGACATCGTCTTCGCCAATGCCGGGGCGGGAAGCCAGCTCCCGCTCGGCGAGATCACCGCCGAGCACATTGACGAAATCTTCGACACCAACGTGAAGGGCTCGATCTTCACGGTCCAGAAGGCGCTCCCGCTGATGGGAAAGGGTGGTTCGATTATCCTGACCGGCTCGAGCGCGGGTACCACGGGGGCCCCGGGATTCAGTGTCTACAGCGCGAGCAAGGCGGCAGTGCGCAATCTCGCGCGAACCTGGGCGGAGGACCTAAAGGGCACCGGCATCCGGGTCAACGTCTTGTCTCCCGGGCCGACGGCGACCGAGCTCGCGGTGGAAGCGCTAGGCGAGGAAGGCATGAAGGTTTTCGCCGAGTCCAATCCGCTTAAGCGCATGGCCGATCCCGCCGAGATTGGAGCGGTAGCAGCCTTTCTCGCGTCGCAGGACAGCAGCTTCATGACCGCCAGCGAGGTCGCCGTCGATGGCGGCCTAGCGCAGATCTAACGTGCTCTGCTCGCTATTGGGTCTGCTTAATGTCCGTCCCGCCCTTATTGCAGTGGTATTTGGAAAGCTGCGAAACAATGGGCATAATGGAAATCTTTCTTAGAAATTAGAAGAACCTCATAGACTTTATTCATTTTCCTAAATATGCAGTTTACCTTAGAGACTTTGCTGTATCCTAGATCTTTTCACCAAGATATTTTAACAGCGTGTCCAATGTGTGTACCTTACCTAGACGCCCCAACGCAATGTCTAAGTGTTCCAGGTCGACCTCCTAATTAGGTCGTTGATACTCCTCACTCTTAGCTGTAAGATCCTAGTATAGAAAGTGGAGGCAGTCCAACCCCTAAGATAAGCAGACTCTCGAGTCTGCCGCCCGTATTGTCTCGGTCGTCCCAGAAACCCACGAATCCAGTATAGCGTCCCCTAGCACTTTTTATGAAGAAATGGACCGAACCATTCGTCTGCTGAAAACGTTCCCTCAACCGCACATCCAGGACCGGAGCAGGGAAACTTTGTTTTGAGAAACCTCAGTACAATGCTGCGGTACTGGTACATACATTCAAGCAAGAGATGCGCAATGCATTAAGCGGGCCATCAGGGCTGGTGAACAGGTGATATAAATGATACGTGAATACTCCCGTTCCAAAGCCATGTTTCTGGATAGGTACCTACCTACATAGATCAGCTCGCAGTCTCGCTTGCTATGTTGTTTGAGCACACATCGGACTTGATGCTTGCCGAGCATATGCACTCGCCACGGCCCAGTCCCCGGTTCGGACGGCGGACACGAGGGGAGACGTTAAAGGAGTGGCAATCGTTTCCAACGTACAGCATGGCGAGGGTAAATGGCAAAGATGTCATCCCGGCGCACGCTGTACGACGTTCTCGACACCAAAGACACCCCAATAGCCCCATCACCCAAAGACCACGGCATGTCTCTGTCTCCGTTCTATTGCGCCTGTCGTTGTTGAGCTTGACGATGTTATACCGACACGACATCGCAGCTCGCCTGGGACAAGCAGCCTCAGGCTTCCAGTCGCCCCTCCTTGATCACGCTGACAGGACAATCTGTAAACGATCCCTTCTTCACGTGCGCTGCGCGGAACCTCCCGCGCCTCTTGCCAACGCAGGCAACCAGCAAGAAAGTAGATATGCTCTAAGTTCGTCATCCAGTGCTGGACGACTGTAGCATCGCGACCCGTGCCATGGCCGGTGCCCGGTTGGAGTCCCTAGGCTGTTCCCACGGCCTCCATGGAATAAGCCTTTGGTTAAAATTAAAGATATTCAGATCATATTCTCAAAGAGTATGCCCTCGTACCCCTTGACAGCTTGGTCATGATTGCTCGGGGCTCCGCCAGGGTGGCAGCAGTCGATGACAAATGTGACCGCCGCGCCGTTATTGGACACGCCCTTTAACAGCGAGAAGGAAATCTCGACGTTGCAGATGTGCTCGCCTTGCCGCCTTCTCGCGCGAGGACGAAGCATTCGTCATATGACACGTCGTTTCTTTCCACGTCGCGGGACCTGGTGAGCAGACTCGATGGATGCTGTGCCTGGGGAAGTGGATGCAGATGGAATCACCGGGTTGGGCGTCCTCGGTGGGGGCTTTGAATGCGGAGAGTACCTACATTGGCGAGGGATGAACGGCACTCGTGGGGTAACGGGGGAATGTGAGCTTGGTACAGATTAATGATGATGGATTCCCTAGTGACTTGGGTAAGAAAGCTTTCGGTGGCGGTGACGTCGGAGAGGGCGCCAGGTCGCTTATTTCGGAGCTGTGGTATCGGTTGATACCGATGAGCAGTGCTGATCTTTTGCCTTGCTTATGCTCCTCTGTCATGTTGATCGAGTCATGAAGGGTCCTGTGCGAAGCCTTGTGGGTGACAGGCAGACTGCGACTCCGTTGAGAGCGGCAAGATGAAGGACAGATGGATGCGCACATCGGAAAAGTACCGCAGTCCGCAGCAAATCTCAAGGGTGCCTTGGAGTAGGGCAAAGCTGAGTGGCAAGTTTGTCTCACTGAACTTTGCCCTTTCCTATCCAATGCCTTGAGTGCATGTCTGAGGGGACCTATGAGCGGGTGGCAAAAAGGGAACCTCGTATGCATTCTTCTGCAATGTCCAGCATACCCCCTCCCTCCTCGGGTGTCAACACATTGACCGCCGCATGCATTAGTGGTGCGATGGATGGCTGTGTTCACGCGTCAATGGCAAGCTGAAACTGGTCGATCATGTCCAAATTTAACAGCTGGTGCATAGCGTAACAGCCAGTGGACGTATTGGTGCACCACATCGGCATGATGCATCGACATTGCTAATACAACGGCCCCTCTCACGCGCATGCCGTCGGAGAAAATTGGGGGTTATGGTCTTTTTGAGCGGCAACAGCGTGTCGGATGATATCGAAGTCCTTTAAAGTCTCGTGTATTGTAATATGCAAGCTACTGCTACGGCTTCTTCAACCTTTATCCACACCGTTAGCAGCCAAATGCATCCCAAATGCATCCACAGCCAAATCCATCAACAGCCAACTCCACCCGCCCACCCAGGAGTGCTACACTGCTAAGACCTTCTCCAGACCGGTTTCACCACCACTATTCGAGCTAGCGGAATTTTAGGACAATTCCCCACGCGACAGTATGTTGGCGCGGCTGCCGCCAGAGAAATCTGGGCGTTACGACCTTTTTGAGCGGCAACGGCGCGTTAGATGATATCGGAGCCTTCAGTGTCTCATCCGACTGCTGTGTAACTTGTGTTGTGCATCTCAAGATGCGCGGATGCGTGGTTTGGGCAATATACATAGGTACCTTGGGATGAACAGCACCTCAGGGTTAACACATATATAAGTGATTGCTGTGGCCTCTTCAACCTCAACCAACACTCCTCATCAACGGCGAAACCTACCTACCTAGCTACCTACCTACCTAGGACATTCTTCTAGCTAATTTTGCCTCCACGATGGCGCCCACCGGGACCCAACCCGACCCCCTCGACCCCCTCGACAGTAACCAAACCAATCATGCCCTCACTAGCTCCTGGTTCCTCGGCCCACGGGCGGAAAACGTCGACGTCCTGAAGGAGCTCTTCAGCCAAGCCCTTGACCGCCAAAAGCAAACTCGAGTCGAACTCGCAGATTACCATCAGGATGGGGACGTCTTCATTACCGAAGAGATGCAGCAGTTGGATATTTACAAAACGAGCATCGCGAAGCTCCAGGACGACACGAATGAGCTCTCTACGAAGCTGGCGCAGCATTCTGTACCGTTTTGGTCGCCGCGGTACAATGCCCATATGAACATGGATACCACAATGGCGAGCATCATTGGATGTAAGTCATATGCGCGCGATTACTCGAACACCTGTATCTGACATTTGTGACTTGAAGATATGACGACCATGATATACAACCCCAACAATGTTGCCACCGAAGCAAGCCCATACACCACGGAACTTGAGAAACAAGTTGGCCAGGACCTTTGTCAGATGTTGGGTTACAATTCCCCCACTGGAGATCCCGCTCCCTGGGGTCATATCACTTGCGTAAGTGTATATGTTTATAGCTCCCGTCTATCCTTCCGTGTCGATGGTAGTGATTCCACTATTAACACGTCCTCGTCGCTGTCAAGGATGGGTCGGTCGCGAATCTCGAGGCTATTTGGTCAAGTACGGAACCCCGATGTTCACCTTCCACAAGGGGGAGGCTAACAATAACAACCCTCGTTCAACAGCTCGAAGCCTCATGTTCTACCCCTTCTCCCTGAAGCTTGCCATGACCGAAGGCCCGCTCAAGTTCCTCAGCACCGTCCAGCCGCCCTTCACAGTCGAGACCTGCAATGCAGGACCGAAGGCGTTTTTGGAGCTCACGAACGACGAGCTCCTGAACCTCACGCCCGCCACGGTGCTCGCGCTTCCCACTAGACTGGGCGAGGAGTACTCCGTCACCCCGGGCTTCCTGCAGGACGCTCTGAAGCCATACTTGATCCAGACGACAGGCAAGGACGCCGTGGAAAAAAAGTTCAACATTAACCCCGGAAAGTTCATGATCAGCGCTACGAAGCATTACTCTTGGCCCAAAGGCGGAGGTGAGTCCCTGGGTCTCTCGCAGGAATTACTTCACACCAAATATCGACGGCCACGGCACTAACCTCTCGAAAAAGCAATTTCTGGTATCGGCTCCGAAAACTTTGTCGACATCCGCGTCGATAACGAGGCCCGGATGGACATCAGCGACCTCGAGAGGCAACTCGACAAGTGCATCGCAGAGAAGACTCCCATCTTTGGCGTCGTTGCCATCATGGGTTCCACCGAGCACGGTGCGTGCGACCCGCTCGTCCGTATTATTGAGCTCCGTGAGAAGTACCAGAAAGAAAAGGGCATCTCGTTCGCAATCCACTGCGATGCCGCGTGGGGTGGATACTTTGCCTCGCTGCTACGGTCGCGCAAGCGCCGTGGCCCGGGACTTGTTCCGTATGTGCCGACGATGCCCCTGAATCCGTACACGAGGGAGCAGCTGGAGCACCTGAAGCATGCCGATAGCATTACGATTGATCCACACAAGTGAGTCTTCTGCCTTCTGTCTCTGGGATCGTCTTTTCTCTGACACAGACACTCAAGGTCCGGTTACATCAACTACCCGGCAGGCGGACTCTGCTACCGAGACGGACGCATGCGATATCTCGTCACCTGGACCAGTCCATATGTGTTCCATGCCGGTGACGACACAGGGAGCATGGGGGTCTACGGCGTTGAGGGCAGCAAGCCTGGCGCGTCCGCGGTTGCTACATGGCTTAGCCATAAGTCACTGGGTCTTCATCAGGATGGATACGGCAGGCTGCTTGGCGAGGCCATTTTCTCGTGCGCAAAGGTTCGTCTAGCCCACTTACTTCCTCCCATGTCTATAATAAGTTAACGTGTTTATTCCTCCATCAGCTTTATTGCCATTGGGCCACGATGACACGGAAGGATGACCCCCTGATCGTCGCTCCTCTCATACGTCTACCCGAGGAGAGGATAGCGGGCGGGGATGTCGAAGCCCAGAAACAGTACATCCGAGACAACATCGTCGGTCGCGATAACAAGACGTTGTTCGAGGATCCGAAGGCATGGGGACTGCTGTGCGAGCTGGGCGGTGATCTCATGATCAATGCCTTTGGAGCCAATTTTAAGATTGATGGCGAGGTGAATCAGGACGTGGTGAGTGCTAACCTTGGTCTTTGAAGCAACACATACTTCTGAGTGCATGCAGACGCTGACAACCGTCCTCAGGGCGAAGCTAACTACCTCAACGATTGGATCTTCTCCAAGCTCTCCATCTCATCCCAAAAGGACAAGGTCGAAGAGCGACCGATAGTTCTCACGGCATCCGAATTCAGCGAAACGGCCTACGGCGGGTGTCTGGATACCCTTAAGCTCCGTCTAGGTCTCACGAAAGACGACGGGGGAGGACAAGTCAAGCCCGCCCCCGGTGACTTGCGGTTCCTCTGCAACGTAACAATGAGTCCCTGGCCCACCACGCCAGGCCTTATGGAAAAGATGATCCAAGGCTTCCGCAGCGTCGCCGAGCGCGGCATTGAACGCTGCATCATCCGCAACAAGCGGACACCGGACAACCACACCTTTGTCATGCAGGGCGTGGAGCAAGTGCATTTTGTATCCATCGCCATGTTTCACATGGCCAACCACCGCAAGCAACTCATCATTACGGGGGACCTACCCGAGGATGTGCAGTCTCGGTACAAGCAAGAGCGCAACGACAACCCAAGCCAGTTTTATACCATCCGAAACATGCAGAGCGAGTACCTCGAAGACATGCTCACGGGCCTGCTCAACCCCGAAACGGCGTCGAAGTACAAGTTCAGACTGGACAAAGGCGTGCCGGGGAAGGAAGACCCTGCACTGATGCAGAACTTTGCGATAAACAATGTCCGGGTTGTGGTCAATGAATCCATGGCATTTGCTGACCTGGACGCCGACTATCCGAACAAGATGCCGTTCTACCTTTATGGTAGCAAGAACGAGACGCACCTGGACCATGTCCTCAAGAAGGCTCCAAACGCTCAGATCAGTGCGGAGCTGGTCAAGACGAATTTGACCACGAACCTGACTGACGAACAGCTGAAGAAGGGCTTGGTTGTCGTTCTGGATGATGTGTTTGAGAAGAGTTTGCAGCCCCTGTGAGTCTCTCCCGCCGTCCCCTTCTTCTGCTTTAGATGGTGAGGGGCATATCTAACAACAGACGCCCAACAACACAGACCGACCGTACAAGACGCAGACCCGGAAAAGAGCATCGTCAATCTCGCGGCGCCGGGCTTCTCGTTGACGAAGGGTGTCGACCACAAGGCATCGCTGTACAACACGTACGAGGACGCGAAGAAGGGCGATGGCACTCCCATCGCCACGGGAACCGTTAGCGTTGGCGACACGATCTATGTTAACTGGGGTGATGTGAACAGGGACCCTGCTGATAAAGCCCAGCAGGACTGAATAGGTAGCTACTTGATGCAGGCAGCTACTTGATGCAGGCTCACTTACCGCTGCAAAATGGCTTGGGCCAGGACGAAGGTATGAAGAACATTGCATGCCCGAAGGCCATACTGCCATTTTGGGTTGCAATAAGAGCTATGTGTCGTTGGAGCGGCGACTCGGAGACTCGGAGGGGTAGCAGTCACATATATCAATCCCACTGACGTTCCTCCAACCAATCGTTCTTGATGCCATCATCTCTTCTCGTCACATTCAGGAGTGTCTATTTCAACAGGGGCAATGTTGGATCCCGGTTCCTCGCCCGAACCCTAACATCTGGTAACTCGCTTAGTGCGAGATGGAGCGCGCGATGGACGGTGACTCTATTCCGGTTAATTGCCTGGCTTCAGCGAGAGTTTCTTAACAAGTCGGCCTACGGCGGTGTCAGGTCTGAGAGGCCTTCGCCAGCGCTGCACGGCCCCTTCTTTCACCCCGTCCACTTATCCCACTGCCCAACAACGGGCCGCCGGAGACAACTTGATCCACCTGTGCGCGGTTGGGTCACGGATATAAGTGGGTGGGGAGAACGCTTTCCACTGGTTGGTTATTGGGCCGAGCGGTATGGAGGGGTACCCCTCAGGTTGTCCTTCCGGATCACTCTAAAATCGCTCGTGTATAGCAAGGTAACAAGCAACAAACGAACTCGCGATGGTGAATATCTATGATTACACACACAGTACGTAGTCTATATGTCTATATCAGGTGCAAGACAACCTCAGGTGGTGCTAAAAGGAAAAGAGGATGCCTGCGTCATAGCTATGGGTGCTAGGAAATGGTAGGTGTAACAAAGTCGCCAGGCGGCGCAGCTCCACACCTCATGGGGCAGTTTTCTCTCAATCCGGTCCGCCTATATATTCATCCGTTTCTCCCTGCACGAGGCAACAAAATGCCGATTCTCCACGAAGAGGGAATCACATTCTCGACGTTCCCCACAAAGACGAAAACCCCTTTTCGTTGACTCGTTTTTGAAGAGGCGTGGTGCGCCCACGAGTAGCCAACACAGACGGCAGACGGGGGCTTCCGCACGGGACTTCCTCCTCTGGAAGATCGGCAACACCGCGATGCCCGCGGTCATCAGACCAGACCCGCTCATCAGGGGGAGCGGTAAGAACCGCGATCGGGGTGCCTCGTCGCCTTTCGGGCTGCTCCTCCCGTCCCGCGGCCGCCGCTCCTCCTCCATCTCTCTCAAAACACGCATTCTTCGCTCCTCGTTCAGCTTCCCAGACAATGCTCCAGAAGCAGGCGTCTCGGTTGTACCCAACAAGAATGGGTTCGTCCACACCGTCATACGCGCCTGGCAGCAGGACCTTCATCTCAGGCTCCGACCCGACGATATCTGGCTCGCCATCCTCGCCCAGTTCAGCCTGTTCGTCAACGGGAATGCCGAGGCTCTCCGTCCCATTTTCGTTGCCCACGAAGGTCGCCCTGAGCTCGTGGTCGATGCCCGCCCGGCGACCGTCGAAACCGTCAATCTCGGTGTGGTTGCGCAGCAGCTGGCTAAACAGGTAAAGCAGAACCTCAAGGATCCTGCCATCGCCACTACCCTTCTGCCCAGCTTTACCACCACAACGCCACATGACCGGGCTACTGCCGCCATGGTATTCCTCGGCGCTATGAAGGAGTATTTTAGCTACGGTGTTCGCTTCGGTTGTAGCTTCCCATCGGTGACGCTGTTGGGCGAACGAAGTGACTGGGCTGATATGCTGAAACGCGTCACCTGGTTTGGAACTATCGACCACGAGGAGACAATTGAGTGGACATTGCGGCTAACCAAAGTACTTGAGTATATGGTTGCCAGCTTTGACCGTCCGGAGGACACGGATGTCAAGAGCTTTTGGACGCACGCAGTGCATGAAACGGGAGCGGACACTTCCGGCAATATACTTACTCTTTCCGGGTGGCTGACGGCCTTTTGTTGGTGGGGTGCTGATGGCCAGAGGATAAAGAGCTTTAGTGATGAAGAGCTTTCTCGTTATCAACTGGAAGGGGAGCCGGACGGATATCGGAGGTTAAGGCTAAACGGCGTCGAGTTTCCCGTGATTCAGCGGAAGAAAGTCCCTGCGAGCGTTGTGAAAGTTCCTCTAACGCTGTACCAGGACGGGCTTGAGCCCAGGAAGGCGTCGTTATTGGCTGGGTCGATGGGGATGCAGGTCATTGGAGAAGATGATGAGACCTCGGTCCAGCCTGTTTCAGGGTGGTGGTTGCTGTCAGCCTCATGAGAGGTTCCCGAAGGTGACACAGGAGATGCTAGATACGTAGGTAGGTTAGGGAAGTCCCATACAGTGTTCACTGTATTACTATGCTAGGCCTATCGTAAGATAGACCTCTACCCCATTGCTACCGCCATCAGCTAAAGGTACGGAACAATGTAGTTAATGCTCCGCACTGGTACATTGACGATGCGTTGAACAGAGAAAGAAAGGTTGCCATCTGAAGGCCCGTGCGAGGACTGTCCTTTGGCAGACGTCGCTTATATTGTATGCCATTTATATGTCACAGATACTTCGTGCAGGTCCGGGGGGCCACAAGAGTCCTCTAGCCCTGCTTTTATCTTGTTCTCCAGAGAGACTACACTCATCAGTAATGAAAATAAGGTGCCGCGGATTAGCTTTGAGTTATTCGCTTCGGCACTCCGTAGAGCGGTCAAACTGCCAAATTAGGACTGCATTAAAAAGAAGCTACCTGATCTCCCTAACTTTGTGTATACATCCAGCTCACCAACCACATTTCACTCGAGCTTGATAGCCCTAGAGACGAATTCTTCCATGCTGGTTAGGTCGCCCAGCGCCTGCTCGCCCGACCACTTGACGCGCTCCTCGGTTTCGGCGCCATAGTAGCCAAAGTCCTGGATATACAAGAACATGTTGACAATGGTATCCGCCGCCACCGGGGGCAGGAAGCCACGGTACTTCTCCTCAGGCATGACGGTGTAGTTGACCGTCTTGCCGGTGCTCTTGCCAATCATCGCGGCAACCTCGTCGAGAGAATGAATGCACGAGGCGGCATAGAGAACCTTGCCATAGTATTTCTCCGGAGTGGCCAATATGGCGCCGACAAATTTACCGGAGTCCTCCACGACGTCAATCCAAGGGAACTTTGCGGCTCCCGAGACAATGTTGGCGATGGCGTATGTACCGTCACCGACGGGGCGAGGTGTCATCATACCTGTTGCGGAGCAGAAATTGTCAAAAGTCGGTTCATCTCATCCCTATGAACGTCCGGAAGGGGAGGCTGGGGGATCTCATCTCATACCGCTAAGGTTCTGCATGAAGGTTGCGGCGGCGAAAAAGGAACTCTTGATGGGTAGGCTGCGAATATACTGCTCCACCTCGGCTTTGGAGTCGTATGAGCCGACAGGATACTGCCCCCCTGAGACAGTTTCGGCGTGGCACTGGGTGCTCCAGATGAAATGCTGTGCACCGGCGGCGACCGCGGCGTCGGCCAGAGCTCTGCCTTGGCGTACCTCCCTTTCCTTTGCCTCCTCGTCATAGATTGTGCGGGTCATCCCGAACACGGTATGCGCGCCCTCGACGGCGGTTCGGATCGACTGTTCGTCGTCCAGATCGGCCTGGACGACCTCAATCCCTTTGATACGTAGCATATCCGCTGCAGGCTTGGACGGATCCCGCGTGACACCCCGAACCCGGAAGCGCTTGGAGAGCTCCGGGCTTGCGGCGACGATGTTCGCCACGGAACCGCCCTGCTGGCCGGTCGCGCCAAAAATCACGAGAAGCTGGCTCATGTTTCTGACGCTTGTGGTGATGAACTTGATGTATGTGGTTGCACGGCTTGCAGCGCGGGCTTGACTAAGGTCATACCAAGGAATAATGATACAATCTTTCCGATTCCTCAAAACCAGAGGGCAACGTGCGGGTGAGGCTCAACCGGCCAAGCCCTCGCTAACTACTAGTAAGTAGGTACGTAGGTAGTATGCGCTGGCTGCTGGCCGTTATCTCCGCCCTCTTTGTCGCTCGCGGTTCGGACCTTGGCCAAACTCCGAAGATGAGAGCGGTGGCTTGTTACGCGACTTCACCCAGGGTTTCTGGCTAAATTCCCATCACTGTGAGGGTAGGGGAAGTGATGGCTGCAGCTTACACAGCGTACTGTCGTAGTGTACGAGTACATGCCTGTACTCCGTCACTTAAGGTCAGGCTAATGCAGTACCACGTAAGTCGCATGTTCAACCCCACTCCGTCACCCAATCTGATGTTCGTCTCGTTCTCCGGGTTTGCCCCGGCTTGTCGGTTCGGGTCATACCATGGTGTGCCACAGTTCCACGCCGTAAGCCGCGCAACTTAGATAATACAGTGTGACACAAAATAACAGACCATGGGCTGACGGGACTTCATGGGCAAGCATCATGGATGGGCCCATGCTAGCGGGTCGTCTCGCATTCAGTCCATCCCTGGTGAGCTGCTCTAGCCTCTATCGACAGTCGGGTCTCGGGCGAGAATGCGATCGACTGAGATGCCTTCATCCTATGGCTTCGGCCTTCGTTCGAGCTCGTGGTGAGAAAGTCTATGTCCATTCAGCAGCGAGTTCAGCCAGTGTCGACCGAAGATCAAATGGCTTCCGACGTCAAAGTATCGAGAGACGGACAGAAGGGGGACGACTCGGCGTCCCTCGTCTACAACATCATCGATGGACAACCAGTCGTCTTGCCGTCGTCTGCTAATTTTCCGGTCGTTTCCGCACGCACCGATGAAGTGGTCCATTACGGCCAGACTGTCACCGCGGCACTGGCAGCCCGCGCGGTCGACGTTGCCGCCACCACGTTCCGAAGCTACAGGGGGACGCCGGTGCACGAGCGGCGTAGGATGCTGCTGTGCGCCGCCGAGTTGTTCGAGCAAAAGGCCGATGCGATGGGCGTGATCCAGATGCAGGAGACTAGCTGCGACGAGGCCTGGGCGCGGTTCACAGCCATGCAAACGTCGACCTTCTGCCGCGAGGTAGCCGGCGCCGTGTCGGCCGCTGTTGTAGGCGACATCCAACCGTCATACTTTGGGTACACCCACCTGGTGTTCAAGGAGCCCGTGGGCCCCATACTGCTAATACCGCCCTGGAACGCGGCCGTGGTACTCTGCGTTCGGGGCATCGCCAACGCCCTCGCCGCCGGGTGCACCGTCGTGCTGAAAGCATCCGAGTTGTGTCCCGCTACGCACCAGCTCGTGGCCCGCACTTTCCACGAGGCCGGATTTCCCCCGGGCGCCGTCAACGTCATCATGGCCGACCGCCCCGCTGCCGCAGTGGTCACCGAGACGGTCATCGCCCACCCAGCGTTGCGCAAGGTCGAGTTCATTGGTAGCTCGGCTGTGGGCAAGATGATCGGCATGCTGGCGGCTCGGTATCTCAAGCCCGTCTTCATGGAGCTCGGTGATCAGAGCCCTGCGATTGTGCTTGACGATGCCGACCTGGAACAGGCGGCCAGATTGGTGGCGCATGGAGCCACTTTCCATCATGGCCAGGTCTGCTTCTCCACGGAGCGCATCATCGTGCAGAAGGCTGTCCGTCAAGAGTTCTGCAGTCTCCTCGCCGCGGCCATCGACCGCCTCGCTCCGAAATGGATGGCTGTCACCAAGGGCCACGCCGAGAGGGCCAAGGCTGTCGTGGACGATGCCGTGACCCGGGGAGCCCACTTCGTCTATGGCAGTTCCGAGCTCGGCGGCCCGGCCATGCTTGCGCCGTCTATACTGGTAGACGTCGACCCCAGTTCGCTCATGTCGAATGGCGAAGCTTTCGCCCCTACGGCATTCCTGGTTGAGGTGGACACGGAAGAGGAAGCCGTCGAGGAGGCTAACTCGCGGGTCGGCGGTCTCTCAGCTGCCGTCTTCACGCGTAGCCAAGAGCGTGGATTACGCCTTGCCCGGGAGCTTGAATTCGGAATGGTGCAGGTCAACAACTCGACCATATTTGCCGAACGTAGGTTCCGTATCCATTCACTTAGTTCTCATTCTGGGTGACATTTCGTCCCTGTTCCTCCGCGGCCAGTGCTGACACAGAAACAGCAAGCGGGGCGGCGACCAACTTCAAGGGCAGTGGCTGGGGGAGCAACAACGGCAAGTACGGCATCGAGAACTTTCTGTACTGCAAATCCGTCTCTCTCGTGCCTTGTGAGAACAAGAAGCCAACCAACTCGTAAATCCCTCTTCCCGGGAATGGCATCAGTTGCTTGGCAATGTGAGCTTCCATATTGATTCTTGCAAAAACGCCCTGCGTGGCTCTCGGGTTAGCTGCCTTTGAGCATTCATAGTTTCCCATATATAGGTACCAGGTATATATGCATTTCTGCACCTCGCTTGACAATGGGCGCTGGGCACAGCGGGATCCGGTTCAAGTTCTTCTATGCACCAACACCCATATCTATCTCTGTATCTAAGCTGGACTCTCCCTGCAATACCAGTATGCGACAAGGTCCAGAATCGAAGAAACTGAAGCCTTTGTTTGCAATTAAATAAAAACACCACATTCCTTTGCCACCCTGTAAATCTCGGCCGCGATCGGCTCCACCACATCGGCCTTGACCGGAACACGATGCGCCCCTTGCCACTCCACGATCGTGGTCACGTCAGGATCGCAGTACTGCTGCGACATTTTGCGGTGCCACGTCAGCCCCTCGTCCCGCAGCCCGTGCACGTGGATGGTTGGCAGCCGCAGCCTGTGCATCAAGGTACGCGATGCCTCGAAACACTGCATGCTCATGGCTGCCGCCGGCATCAGCGCCGGGTCCCCTAAGCTCTCTCTCCTCAGCGCCACAAGCGGGCCCCTCCCGGCCATCAACACCCCAAAACGGTACCCCTTCGCCGCGGCATCGTCCTCGTCCGACTCCCACACGTGCTGGTCAAACAAGAGACTGGCTGCGATCTTGGCCCCCTGACTGAACCCCAACACCCCCACCCAGGGCCCGCCCCGGCCGCCGCAGGCCAGGTCGTCACGGGCCTTGCACAGCTCCAGACTCGTGAGGATGGCCCGCGCGGCCGCTTCGTCGTCCAGGGCCGGATGCGAGTGCTTCCAGCGCAGCCAGCGGCGGAACGGCGGCCCCCAGGCCTCGTACACGGGCACCACGTCCGGCCCGGGCTCCGACACAAACGGCGCATCCGCGAAGACCAAGCGGAAGTGGGGCAGGTGCCGGATCAGCACGCGGCACTGCGCCCGGAAGATGGCCGCAGTGGTGCCGCCCCCGTGCAGGCACAGGATGCGCGGGCGCCTGTCGCGTTGTGGCGGCTGCAAATCTTGGGAGTGGGAGTGGGGATGAGATGGCGGAGGGAGGAACGACGACGGTGTCACTGTCATGGCGACGGCGGTTCTTTTCTGGCTCCACTGGAAATGTGGGATCCGAATTTGGGTAGACAGATCGTGTTCCTTCGGCCGGGTGCCTGGACGGGGGAAGAATGGGCTGGATCGGCCGACAAATAGGTCCGTTGCCCATCCTGGGGAATGCCATGCCATGCCGTTCGGCGTTATCTATACGTACCACTTCCGCTTGGCCTCCATTATCTTATTCAGCTTGCCTAAGCCGATCAAGATATGGGTGATGCCTACGTGGGCTACATGTACCGAGCGTTCACACCGAAATCCCCAACGAAGCATTGCATATTATCACCACATGGACCGACCATCCGGGCCGGGGTTCGAAGACTGTGGTTCAAGTAAGCTTCGGCCAAGGTGCCGAGGGAGGACCTCATTCAAAATAAGCTTCGGCCAAGCATGTGCCCGAATGCTGCGCTGTGTCCGGCAAACGCCTGGTCGTCTTGGCGTGCGCGCGCGCCGAAACACGCTCTAATTTTTGAAAAAACGGCCAGAAGACCAGAAATCAGTCGAACTATCTACAGCTATATCAACTAACCCACCACATGCGCGCACCGCGCAAATACCTTAAGCTATATATCTAAATACATAGAATCCGAATATTATACCCGATTAATGATGCGGATAATACGCGCTGAGATCTTGATGGGTTTAAAAACTGGTGAATTTTTGGTAAAAATCGCCAAGACCTGCCAAGACCTGCCAAGATATCTTCGAAAAGTTCAAATACAATCGAGAAAAACAGAAATCTATCGATACCTCAACGCGCATTATCCGCATCGTCGATCAGGTATAAAATTCAGATTCTACGTATCTATATATGTAAGTTGAGGTATTTTCGCGGTGCACGCATGTGGTGGGTTGGTTGATATAACTATATGAAGTTTTTGATTCTCCTTTTCCCCTTTCAAAGTTCCAAAAAATTAGAAAATGTTGCGCAACCCGCGCGCGCACGCCAAGACGACCAGGCGTTTGCCGGACACAGCGGAACCGGCCCGTCCGCTCAGTTTTGCCAATAATGAGATCTCCATGCGGAAAATGATCTGCCCATTCCCGGTTATCGGCATTAACCGTGGGGGGCAAGAGAAGAGAGCCTCCGAGTCGCGATCGTTCGGTTGCTCTCAGGTATTTTAGAGTCGTATCTGCAACCACCGTACGATGTCCCGAGTTGGTAAAAATAATCGAGACGGTTGCGTGGTCGGTTATACAAATGCAACCCGAGCCCCATACCCGTGACGCCGCTGACGCGTTCGGTTTAGGGGCAGCAGAGGACTGCAGACCACGTTGACGGAGACGTTCCAGGGAGACATTCCGCATGATCAGAATGCATCCATTCATTCGCCATAAGCGCCTCGATATATGTATGTATGTATGTTTGGAGGAAACATCCCTGGTCGCCCCCACCCCTCTCCAAGCGTATCAAGGCCCCCGTCCACCCTCCTTGACCGGCTTTACGGAACCACGGAATCACAGCCTCCCGCATATCCAGCATCAAGTGGTTCGGCCCGCCCGGCCGGTTGGATGGCCTGGGGTGCAAAGATGCCGACCGTGACCGCAGACCGGCAACTGTCATATTGTTGACGAAAGCTTAGATTGCCATGGAAGGAGAGTGGCACAATAATCCGAGTTGAGAATCACACTATCCGAACATATGCAATACAATATCCGCCCGTAGATCTTGGATGTTGCCTACAAAACCTCTCAACAACATCAACACGTGGGCGTAAGTGGGTGCGATATTCGGATCCGCCGCCACATGATCGCATATCACCGACGCCCGAAGATAACGGCTAGTTCCCATGTCCATATGTACCTGCATAGGTACAGACATACATCTGAAGGTTCCTCGCGAGAGTGCCTTTCCCTTCCAGGAAAGCTGCCTGCAGCGGCGCCCTTGCTGTCTAATGCAAGTCAGACGGAACAAGAATTCTCCCGATGCTTGAATGTACACCGTACACCTTCATCACGGTCTTGAACGCTAGCGCGGTGACTTTGCGGAGATCGAACTCAAAATACCCCACAGATGTCGGAATCTGCCAAATCACCTCTCTAGCAATTTGTTTAGAAAGCTACTTCGTCAGATCTCCCCCTGACCCCTACCCAGACTGTTACAATCAAACTCGCCTTCGTTGAGGAGTACCTCGCAGCCAAATCAACAATGGGCGACGGTCCTTCTCCTTGTGCGTCGAGAGAACTACCTCTTCAGGCCTACGGGCAGTGTGGGTGGAAACGGCGTGAGCGGCCTGGGACGACTCAACAAACAAGCGATAGTAATTTTATAGAAGAGAATGGCGAGACAATCCGGTAGTACTCACTTTCAGGGTACCAGGCTGATCATGTCAGCTCGCGTTACGTATCAGGCTCGGATGTACCGCGCTAGCATTTAAGACCCGGGGGGAGGTGTATGTGGCAAAACCAATCCGGACAGCAGCGCGAACTTATAGGGGTTTATGTGCCTTATTATTTTCCTCCTCACGCATTCATCGCAGTCTAGGTGGGAATTCTGACCACCAACGCACTGATGGTCTGTTTGCTTTTTCCATATTTCCAAAGATGGACTATGAATCCAACAATGATCAACCTTGGAGAAATCCATTCCCGCCGCTTCATGTCGATACCGGCACCAACAAGAGAGACCTCGTCTCAGACGATGCTCATGAACCTTCTCCGCCTGAAGACGTGTGGACAAGCGAAATGGACCGCAAAACAAAGAAGCGGATTCAGAACCGTGTCGCACAGAGGACATATAGTACGGAAGCAATAAACCGCAGTTATTGTGAATTGCGGCTTCTGCCTTGTATGGGTTAGGTTGCATCGGCTGACGTTTGTCCTACCATTCAGGAAGTCGGATGCGGCAACGGGTGCAGGATTTGCAACGAGAGATCTACGAGATGCGGACGGGGCGGCAACTGCTAGGGGAACAGCACCACCAATTCTCCGAACCTCCTTCCGGTTTTGGGGCCCTGGACGGTAACGGTGGTTCGGCATACTGGAATGCTCCTCCAGGACCTAAGTCGCAATTATCGATTCGCGGAGTTCAGACAGCGAAGGACGCAGGACCCACCAGTACGCACCCTGACCATCATGTTGCTTCCAACGCGTACGACATGGGCACGGAGTTCTGGATGAGCATTCCTGGTGACCCTCTGTGGAACGGCGCGGACCCGCGACGAGGGAAGCAACCGTTCCCGCCATCTCCATTATCGTCTTCTGACACAGTTTCTGACGGGACCCAACTGCAACCCACGCCGGTCACCGCATTGTCGAGCGGACCGCGGCTCTCCCTCACTCCAACGGCTCCACGTACACCGACAAGCCAAGACACTGGTGCGTAGAACACATAGAACACACTTCCTGATCTGGTTCACTCTTTCCCCCTCAAACACTCAGATGCTGCGCTTGAAAAGCCTACAGACCCGAGACAGCTGCTAAAAGCATCGCTAGGCCAAGAGCGAACAGATAGTATCAGAAGCGTTACGGAGCTTAGCTCACCTCAGAGCTTGTTCGGTCCATGGTCGTGCAGCGGGAGCCTGCTCCCTGTCCCACCCACCACATCGGACGCTGTGTTACCGCCCCAGGAGAACGAGATCGGCGGCGTTTCCAGCCCTCGAAACGCACCCGCTATGCAAGCGACCGGGACGGCAACAGTGTCGGCTCGGTCAGCGCCATCCACATCGGCGGCAACGCCCGCCACTGACCTCTCTGAGAACGGCGGCAAGATGCCCACCCCGGACGCGCCAGTAGAAGAGCGCTTCTCGTATGTGCTCGACTGCGCCCGCCGAGTAGGCTTCGACTGGGACTTTGACGCGCTCGCCACCCAGTACTACGCGCGCGACTTCGAATCCGGGTCTCCCCTGGCTCTGGAGCAACGGCTGAGCCGGAACCGGCGTCTCCCGGTCCTCTTGGCGCAGCTTCGTCAGCTCTCAACCACGTGGAACCATTGGCAGCGTCGTGGGTACCAGGACGAGACGCTCAAGACGGCCGAGGAGATCTGTGCCCGTGAGTGCCGAGACTTCTATGAGAAAAGGCGGCAGTGGGAGAAAGGCGAAACGACAGAGAGCCAAGGAGAGGAATGTGGCGGGGAATCCGGTACAGCGATGCTGGAAGACCATGTGAGTTACTATCCGCTTTCTGGGGTAACCAACCAGCCAGAAGCGGGTTAAAACTCTCAACGCCGGATGTATAGGTATTACCAGACGAACTGACTTGATGGGTATCTTTAGTTGCCGAATTTATGGGCTTTTCTGACGGGATTAGCGGCGAGTAATCCCCTTTTGGAGCACAGTAAACCGACCGCCGTGGCCTCGATGTGTATGGAACTACTCTGCGGGGAGGCGCCGGGCAGATTGCGCCAGGGGGCAGCTTAGCGCTCCGTCGAGCAGCACGTCGGGCAGCACGTCGGTGGCAACAGTTTTCCTCTGTTTTACAGTTCACTCGGGTGACGGGTCTGCAGGCCCGCTTCCACGAATACACGGATACACGAGGTACCTTAGACATAGCACAAACAAGGATAGCATGGAATACATTTACGGTATACAACGAAGTCGATGTGGGGCATGGCATACTCAGCTTGAGTGTCATTCGGATAGATGGATAAAGACAGTGCGGACTTAATCTTGATTGGTAACAAACCCGAAGTCCCTACATACTCGGGCGGCACGGGTAAAAACAAGCATGCGCTAGTGGCACGCACCCACGTGGCACGGTCCGGACCCCCGCGCCGTGATCTTTCGTGCACCTCCGCTCGATCCCCGCTCTCCCCTGGGGTGATTCCCCACTTTCATTGAATGGTATTTCATACAGATCTGTCCATCCTTCGTACACCGAGAACTTTCCCGGCCACCACTTCCATAACGCATGTATTTTACATGCAGGACATACCACAGTTAACCGCAGATGCAGTCTTTGTACAGTACATATTTACAGTAGTTCGATCCCATAACGCTAAATATTGGTGACTGTTTTCTTTTCATGACTGCCAGCTAACAGGCGTTTGGGAGCGGTGCTACGTTATTACCTCCCTACATACGGTAGGGTAGGTACATACCTAGGTACCTTACTTACACCAGCGGGATATGTACTACGAAATCGCGGATCACCTGCTTCTGCTCCTACAATGGCGCCGAGATTCTAAATGAGACTATGAAAATAGTCGTCGTTGTGCAATTGCATTCGCCTACTTGTTAACCGCTACCCTAACCTCGAGGATTGCCTCCTCGTTTACACCCGCCGGGTAGACGGCGACAATCTCCAACCCCACCTGCGAGACGATTTCCTTGTACTGTCTCTCCGTCCTCTCGGACGAGTTGAACATATACATCATGTGGATATCGGCAATCGCGCTACGGAGTTGGGCGTTCTTGTCCGGCAGAACGTAGTCGTCTATCAAAAGGGTCGAATACTCGGGGTCCATGGCCGGGACAATGTTGCGTAGTATCTCGACGCATTTGTGATCGGGCCAGTTGTGGAATACGTTGCGGAAGTAGTAGAACCGGGCGCCTGTACAGGGTAGGTAGGCCACCTAGTTAGCGATGCGTGGCCCTCATTCATCCACGAACCCAGTGGGGAGTGCATACCTTTGACGGGCTGCGGGGTGAAGAAGTCGTGGGCCACGACCTCGATGCCTTCGGGAGGTTGCACCATGGCGGCAACTGACTCGGGAAGATCCTGCAGAACGTAGCGGCCGGGAAGATGAGGAGTCTGCTTCCTGAAGTTGACCAGCTGTGAGCCGTTGGCACCACCAACATCGACCATGAGGACAGCATCCGGCCCGGACCTCAGCGTGTCAGGGGACAAAGAGGCGCAGGCGGGATAGCGTCTATGCCACAACGTCTCTTCGTGCCGTTTGCGCTCGTGCATCCACAAGTCGAAGTTCCGCCGCTGGTCCGGCTTCTCTTCGAGCACGCGCCACATGGTTTTCTTGTGCACGTACTCGAACGCCGTGTCCGACGGGTCTGGCACCCGCCCAAAGTCGGTCGAGGACAGAAAGCCCCGCAGGTTTGCTGTCACCGGATAGATGATATCCATCCACCGCATCGCCCCTTGCCAGCCCGGCCGCACCAACATGATGGTGAGTTCGTTGGCACGGTATGTCTGTTCGTCCAGTTCGTCGCAAAAGCAGAGGGAGCACGCCAGCCGCATCAAACGGACTTGTATCGCACCAGCCGGGTTAGCCCCTTTTTGTTCCCCTCACCATCACGGTTTTGGATTGTCCAGGATGGCAAAACAACGTACCCACAACTCCCTCTTCACATTTGGACGCCTCTGCTAGCTGTTGGGAAGAGGCTGTCTGGTCTTTGCTCGCTACAAGTGCGCCCAAGATGCCCAGTTCGACCAGCATCGTGACGCCCATGTTCTCGACCACCTAGACACAGCGTCAGCACTCGTTGTACGGACACTACCGAGCATATAGGATGTGATGCCCTCACCTGGAGCCGGAAGGTAAACAGAGTGTCGGCTGGTGTGGCTGCGGCCACCTGCAGTTGTCGAATACATGCCTGGAGGGCCTTGTAGTTGACGATGCTATCGTCGGCGACATAGTGGTTCGTGGCGCGCTGTACTTCCCCTGTCAAGTCTAGGAGACGGGCCCGGCTTGAATCTTCCATGCTGTTTTCTAGTGTTCGCTCGGTAGGTCTACAAGTCTGATGGCTGCTCACACCTTTTTCTGGAATTCCGTTTACTCGGATTGATATCGAAAAAACGATGGGAATTCTTTTGTCCCGATAGGAACTCCTCACGCAGACCTGTCTCTGACTCGACCGAGAGGCTCGCCTTAGCAACTATCCTCTGGCCTTGATCAGACCTACTAGTGCCGAGCAGCGGTGCCGAGGACGGACTGCTGCGGGAGGTATCCATTGTGGCTGAGAAGGACCGGCACATTGTACCGAATCATGGGCGTGGGTAATATTACCGCCCTTCTCAGGAGCGGGGGTGTGGAGATATTTCGTGGGATGATGCATGATGCATCTTATTCTTGGCTTACTCATCTGCAGGTTACATACAGCCTTGGTGGGATCCGTGTCGTCTCGCTCCCTGCTGTTTCATCACCCATGTTCCGTAATCATCCCCATTCCCATTCTGTACACTGCATGCATCCCTATCAGTGAATGTGTTTCCAAGCTCGGGTATGGACATCACGAATGACTACCTAATTTAGGTAGTTATCATGCTGGAATGCAGCTCTGAGGCCCTCAGAAGCCGGCGGAACCTGAATTTGGCCGGCTGACATGTCACATGCGTAGAGTCACAACACGCAACTCCAGCTTTACCGGAAGCCAGCCTTTGGGAGCGTAGTTCATAAATTGATCTGCATTACGCTGTATGTTTCGATCCATCCAATGTTGCCAAGCCGTCCCATTGCAGGTATCTCACGACCATCCACCATGATTTGCCTCCACTCGTTCGTCCTCGCCTTGTCCGCTCTGCCGGCGGTGACTGTGGCTTCTTGTGGCGATCAGTTTGATACCGGTTGTTACAGTCCCGCAGATATCGTAACCCGAAATGTCGCAGTAATCGGAGGCGGATCGTCGGGGACATACGCCGCCATCAAACTCCGAGATCTGGGCCGGTCCGTTGTCGTCGTTGAGAAGGAGGGACAACTGGGCGGCCACACGAAAACCTACCACGTTCCGGGAACGGGAGGCACGATTGACTATGGCGTTCAAATCTACTGGAACACGTCACTGGTGACAGACTTCTTTGCCAAGCTCAACGTCGCCATCACCCCATTCCGTCCTTCCGGCGGCGCTACGACGGTGTACGTTGACATGGAAACCGGGGAACGCCTCGCAAATTTCACACCAAGCAGCGACTTGACCGCATATCGCGAGCAGCTCGTCAAATACCCCTACCTCGCGTGGGGTTACAACCTCCCAGATCCGGTTCCAGACGACTTGGCTCTTCCGTTCGGGCGCTTCATTACCAAATACCAACTGGAAGACGTCGCATTCACGATTTTCCACCATGCTGCAGTTGGCGGGTTGGGCAGCATTCTCCAGAAACCGACCATCCACGTTCTCAAGGCTCTCAGTGAAGTCGTCTTCCGGGAGGGCGGGGGAGAGGCTTTCGTCACCGCGGCGCACAACAACCACGAGCTCTACGAAAATGCCCTGACGGCTTTGGGCGATGATGTCCTCCTCAACTCCACCGTGGTCGCCGCTACTCGCCCCGAAGATAGCTCGGCAAGCACGGGTGTCCGTCTGGTCGTACAGACACCGACCGGCAACAAGCTGATCGTTGCCTCCCAAGTCCTCTTCACCGCCTTGCAAACGGTGGACAACTTGGAGCCCTTTGACCTTGACCAGCAGGAGCGTGACGTCTTTGGCGCGTTCAATGTCACAGGTTTCTACTCTGGCCTCCTCAACAACACGGGACTGCCCGCCGGATCCAGCTTCGTCAACGCCGGTGCCAGTACGGAGTACCACATCCCGGCGGCGCCCGGGCTCTACCACATCCAGCCGACTGCGACGGAAGGCATCTGGTCGTTTTGGTACACGAGTGACGGCGTGGTGCCCGAGGCCACCGTCGAGCGCGACGTGCTCGCCGCCGTAGGTGTCCTGACCAACTCCTCTTCTTTCTCCCAGGCGCAGATCCTCGCCCTCGGGTACCACGCGCCGATGTACGTCTACCCGTCTGCGGAGAAGGTTCGACAGGGCATCTACGCCGACCTCGACGCTCTGCAGGGTTACCGAAATACATGGTACACCGGCAGCCTATTTGAACCGGCTGCAGGTCCGCTGTGGGTGTTTACACAGGCGTTGATCACTAAGATTGCCGCAACGGTGCAGTGAACAGAGCTGCAAATTATGTAATGTCAGCGATCGTCCTGATGGGTATTTTGTATAGATACATGCAGTGTAGTCCATGCAGTTAGAATTGCGTCAGGAGAGATGGTAGGGGTGGAAACTTCGAACCTTGTGAAACCGTATTGTAGCAACTGAGTTGCGAGAATTCGTTTCCTCCTTTCTTGGCAGGAGATTACCTACTTGTTCCTTGGGGTGCGAAGGCGAGACCTAGCGTATTATGGAACTAGGTGATAGTCCTATCGTCGCATGGCTCCCGAACTATCGTCATAAAACAAGCCTTCTGGTCCAAAATATAACTTTAAAAAGTTATGCGGTAGAGTAGGCTCCAACTTTGCTATCTTCTCACTTCGACGACACCCCTCCTCAATCTTGCCGGTGCGATATGGAGCCGAGATATCCTAGGCTTACTACCTAGGTACGCTCGGCCCCTCGCTATGGCAGCTACTTGAACTCTTGATCCGACACGGCGTCATCTCAAGAACGAACCGCAACATGCAACATACAAGGTCTCTCTTCCGCATCTTGTGCGAGCCCATAGCTAAAGTTCGATCTGGTCTGGCACACGGCCTGGCATATGATGGCCACTTCATGCACCCAAGGAACCCCTCTAAATGCCCATCAGCTACGCCTGCTAACCTGCACCATAATTCCTTTCTGCCGGAAGAAGTACGAGTTCTCAACAACATAAGCCTTTGGATCCACCAGTTTGAACTGTAAAAAGATACCATCAGCCCCTGGCATTATCCCTTTGGGTATTCACAATGATATGTTCGTACTCACATTGTAATTCATTAGAAGGGCTGAGACGGTCTTCTTGATTTCCAATAGCGCAACGTGCTTGCCAAGGCATATCCTTCGGCCGGCACCGAACTGCTCGGCGGTAACAGGATTGGTCAGTCGGCACTGGCCTTGCCTATTGCCTCGGTATCTGGACGTGGATTGTACGTACCGTCATGATGGACTGCGCTAGCTTCCTCTGATGCTCTACGTCACCCTCCAGCCATCTCTCGGGCCGCCATTTGTCTGCATCTTGGCCGAAGGTCGGCCGGTGCCGGTTCACCACAAACGGGTTCATGCCGACTACAACTCCCGCAGGGAACTTGCGCCCACAGATGGTCGCCCCGCCCGCCGGCACGACGCGCTCAAGTGGCAGACAGAAGGGCGGGTGAAGTCGGACGGCCTCGTTCACGCAGGCGCCTAGATATGGCAGGTTTGCGAGCTCGGATGACGTTGGGTATGGCCGGGAGAGCGGCGCGAGCTCTGCAGAGAGACGATCGAGCGAGGAGGGATGAGACAAGAGGTGGTACATGGCTGTCCGCATGACGACGGCGGTCGAGTCGGACCCTGCGATCACGTTTGAGAAGGTCCAGACGAGGGGAGACCTGGGGTGGGAACCTTGAGTCAACAAAGTGCCACCCATCTTGCAAACCCAAAGCTGTGTATCGGGCTCTTACCATGGCGGAATTGTCGGTGTTTCATCTTGGATATTCAAGAACTCGTCCAGGAAGTCAGGCTTCGCCTTCTCTACGGCCCCCTGTTCTTTCTTCGCCGCTTCGGCTTTCCGCTGGGCCACGGCGTTGGCGGCAATCTGGAAAATGACGTTTCCGCTTCCCTTGTTCAGTGTAGCCATGATGCTGTTTTTGTGCAGCAACTTGTCGAGCCACGGGACTTGGGTCATCTGCCATGTAATGACAAGGGATAGAATTGTCAGTTGCTTACATGGTGGAACTAACAGAGGCAGAGAGAATACAGGAGCCGGATCATGAATCCACATACCGGTCCCACGGTCAACATGAAGTTCCAAATCGCGCCGAGGATGCCTTGGTCGTCCCGGCCCGTCTCGAGGAACCCATATCGCTCGGAAAACGTCATGGTGCCCATGACATCAAATGCAAAAAACTGGAGCCAGTCCGCGAGGTCGAAGGTCTGCTGGGGTTTGACGAACCTGCTGTCCAGTTGCTCAAACAGCACACCGAGCACCTCGTCGATAAAGGGCTCGCTCTTGACCGCGTTCGTGTGAGAGTAAAGTGGGGCAACAGGACTCTTGATCCTCTTGTGAAGCTCCTCGTCTCGTGCAGTGAAGATCGCTGGCGGCGCCGACCCGCCTTTGACGTAGGGAATGAAAGCATCGTATAATGCACCCTGGGTATGCAGAAAAAACCATTGTCAGCTGACAAGTCCTACCCGCCTTACTTTTCAAGAAGACCGACCTTTGGGAAGCCTGGACGCATAGGGTAGATGTCGGGGATCGCGGCCGGGTCCGCCACCGAGACCATGTTCGGCCCAATTCTCAAAAGTGGACCATATCTCTCATGGTATTTCTGGTAGATTTCATGGGATCGTCCCGTCTTGACGAGGGCAGCTCGGTAGAGGTCGGTGACCTTGGCCAAGGACGGGCCGGGTATGTCACGCAGTACTGAAGATACGCGTAAGAGCTGCCAGCAGCATAGACCCGCTAGTATGGCTAAAGCACCTAAGAGGGTAGGTTCGGGAACAATGTGAGACATAAGTTGCGCCATTTTCGGTCTCAACAGGCTCGAAGACGATGAAGATGGGGTAGGCGGACACTGGAGTTGGAGTAGAGGCGTAGGGTCAATAGACCTGTTGGTGGCGAAGTCCAGTCTCGCGTGAGTACCTCACCCAGCAAATGCACTCCTGGCTAAGGTGTTGATTGCCCTGAATGATCACGAAGGCAGGAAAGTTGTGCCAGGAAACAGTTACTGGTGCCGCAACGCTTGCTACACTGTGCTGGGTTCAACGTGAGTCAGGCAGGCCACGCCCGAGCACGGCAAGCCATCACAACCGAGTTGGATGAGGACGTCACATTCGTCGCCGAAGGACGCATTGCTGGCAGGGATATGACCTCATGGTGCGGGTGCGCCTGATTAGCACCAGGCTTCATCAGAGTCAACACGTAGGTCAGGAAGAACAGTCCACGCCGCGGTCGTAGTCGCTTACGAGGGTAGTATTTCGTATGTCTGTGCCTAATGCACGTCACGTAAGCCGCAGACGAAGATCATCCAGAGCCCCTGGGCACGTTTTGACCGGATTCAGGGTAGGGGTTAGATGCAAGTATCAATCGGCCTGATTCATGCAGCATGCAACTCTGTCTGTGGTTGTCACATACATGCATTTGTTGCTTGCAGACTGTTGAATGCTATCTTGCAGCTTCGGATCTCTACGCGACGTTGAGACGGCTCGGCTCGCATGAATCATGCGAACTGCAGCTGCATGACAAGTTGACAACTGCACCCCTGACTGACAAACACCGGCTCTGAGGTTACGACAGATAGCAGTACCGGGTCGAGAGCATAGAGGTCTCAGCACTCTGCACATTGGCGCACGAGCAAACCAAGGCTGGGTGAAATTGCAACGACCAACAGTAATTAGGTATTTGCTTATTTGCCGCACAGACTCAACGCCTATAGAGGAGGTACTGACCTGGTGCTTGGGTCAGACCAACCGACTGCGTAATAGGAGAGCACTACCAAGAAGTGAGTCGATTCTTTCCTCACCGCTGGGTCTCACCCTGACGGAACGCCGCAACATTGCTAATCTTTGTCTGGACTCTAAAGCTACCAGCAATCAACTGCATTCAACCGCAGTTTCCCAGCTTAGCCCGTCGCGATGGCCCACTCAACTGCCTTCATGCCCCCCAAGGTGCTCATCTTCGGCTCTCAAATCCTCTCTTTTGACGCAGGGTCCGGACGGAAACTCCGGGATCGGGTTGTTAATGACCCCGCCTTGGCCTGGGCTCCCAGCGTGATTCGGGAATTGCCCGGTCTATGGAAAGTCATTTCTGAGTCCTTGCCGAGTCTTCGCGCTCTCCCCGGAGAAGCGCTCCTGAAGTGCCTCGAAGAGTGGATGGGTACTGGGGTGATCCCCGAGACGGCCTACCCACTGCCGAATGTGGTGCTGACGCCGCTGGTGGTGCTGTTCCACCTCGCTCAATATAGCCGTATGTTCAGTTCATCCAATCCAGCTTTTGATCTCTACGATATACCTCTCTTCACAGTTCCGGAGTTTCCTACAGTCCGATGATATGTTTGGTTTCGCTGACAGCGAGTGTTACGCTAGAGCTTCTGGAATATCAGGATATCTACAAGAAGGACAAAACTGGTGGGGATGTTCTCCCGACCGACCAGTCCACCGAGTTCCTTGGGCTCTGCACAGGCATTCTGGGTGCTGCCGCTGCAGCGGCGTCGTCACGACGAGAAGATTTGCAACACTTTTCTCCCATCGCCGTTCGTCTGGCGATGGTAATTGGCGCCATAGTCGACGCGAAGGACCGATCGGAAGGCGAAGCACGGTCTATCTCTGTTGGATGGAGCACCCCGCCCCTTGGTGACCGCATCAATGAAATACTAACTCGTTACCCGGGCGCGTACGTTTCGGTTTGGCAAGACGAAACGCGGGCCACAGTGACGTGCCCCGGCAAGGAGACATCCGCCCTCAAGTCAGACCTTCTTGAAGCAGGCGTGAGCATCGCCGACGTCAGCCTCCAGGGCCGCTTCCACTACCAGGGTCACCTGGACGACGTGCAGCTCGTTGAAGCCCTGTGCGACAAGTATCCTTGGTTCCAGCTGCCCGACGCCAGCCAACTTGCCTTTCCGTTGAGGTCCAACGCCGGGGACTTCATCACGACCGGGAAGCTCCACCATCACATTGTGCGTTCCATGCTGGCCGTTGAGGCAGACTGGGCCACGGCCTTTGCGCGAGTGCAACGCACGGTACTGGAGAACGGGCTATGTCAGGTGCTTGGCTTTGGGCCTGAGAGCTGCGCGCCTGCGTCGCTCGTCAGGAAGCTTGGATCTCAGTTCACTCATCTCACGGCCCTAGACGTGGCACGGACGGCTCTCTTTACCAAGGTCTCCGGACTGGACGGTCCGCCGGACTACAGAAGTCGAGTGGTCGAGAACGGCATCGCAGTGGTAGGGATGGCCTGCCACATGCCAGGGGCAGCCGACATGGATGAGTTCTGGTCCATTCTGCGCGACGGCAGATCGCAACATATCGAGGTGCCACCGGAGCGCTTTGGCTTTGAAACGGCGTGGCGCGATGGGGAGGGCTCGAGAAAGTGGTATGGTAACTTCGTCAAAGACCACGACGCGTTCGACCACAAGTTCTTTAAGAAGAGCCCCCGCGAGATGTCGTCGACGGACCCGCAGCACCGACTGATGCTGCAGGTCGCATACCAAGCGGTGGAGCAGTCCGGGTACTTTAATCGGCTGCAGGACGACGTGGACAAGCACATCGGATGCTACATTGGTGTTGGCCTCGTTGACTATGAACGCAACATTGCCTGCGCCCCGGCGAATGCGTACTCGGCGACCGGCAATCTCAAGAGCTTTGCGGCGGGCAAGATCAGCCATCACTTTGGTTGGACCGGCCCTGGGCTGACCGTAGACACGGCGTGTTCTTCGTCCGCTGTAGCCGTCCACATGGCTTGCCGGGCCATCTTATCGGGCGAATGCACGGGGGGCGCGCTCGCCGGCGGCGTCAATGTCATGACCAGCCCGGAATGGTTCCAGAATCTCGCCGGGGCCTCGTTCCTCAGTCCAACCGGGCAGTGCAAGCCCTTCGACGCAGCGGGCGATGGCTACTGCAGAGCCGAGGGCGTCGGCGCCGTGTTCCTGAAGAAGCTGTCATCGGCCATCGCGGACGGCGATCACATCCACGGGGTTATCGCCGCCAGCACCGTGTACCAAAACCAAAGCTGTACCCCGATCACGGTCCCGAACGCGCCCTCTCTGGCCGACCTCTTTTCCCACACGGTGGCAGACGCTGGCCTGCGCCCCAGCGACATCACATACATTGAGGCGCATGGCACTGGCACCCCCGTGGGCGACCCTGCCGAATACGCGGGGATCCGAAAGGTCCTCGGCGGTCCGTCTCGGTCCCAAACTGTCTCTCTCGGCTCGGTCAAGGGACTTGTGGGCCATACCGAGTCGGCGTCGGGAATAGCGGCCCTGCTCAAAACTCTGGTCATGTTAAACAAAGGAGCCATTCCGCCGCAGGCCAGCTTCCGCACCATCAACCCAGCCATCGAGGCGGCGCCGGATGATAATATCGACATTGCAACCACCCCGCGGCCGTGGGATGCCGACTTCCGGGCCGCCCTCATCAACAATTACGGTGCGTCGGGCTCCAATGCATGCTTGGTGGTCACTCAGGGGCATAGGGCGGGCGGGAATATAAAAGCACCAGCAGGAGTAGGCCTAAAGTACCCGTTCTGGCTCTGCGCAAACGACGACAAGAGCCTCCGCGCATACTGTGCTCGCCTGCGCAGACTCGTGGCCTCGGTGCACCAACACGAAGTAGAGGAAGCCGATAGAGGCATCGCTGAGGCATACATGCTGGCAAACCTGTCTTTTCAAGTGTCTCGGCAATCAAACCGGTCACTTCCCAGCTCGCTCACCTTCTGTTCCACCTCTCTCGGGGACTTGCAAGGGAAGCTGGCAGGGTTGGAAATGCATCCAAGCCAGACCATCCCGGGTTCGGTGCATTCCACCCAGCCTGCTGTCAAGCCAGCTGTTATTCTGTGCTTTGGTGGGCAAAACTCCACCAGTGTCGCTGTAGACCGCGTCCTCTACGACCACGTCACCGTCTTCCGCCAGCACCTGGATCGATGCGATGCCGTGTGCCGCTCGCTGGGCCTGGAGAGCCTCTATCCCGTCATTTTCCAACGGACCCCGGCGAAGGATGTTGTCAAGCTCCAGACGATGCTCTTCGCGTCCCAATATGCGTGTGCGATGAGTTGGCTCTCTTGTGGACTACAACCCTCCGCCGTCGTGGGGTTCAGCTTTGGCGAGCTGACGGCCTTGTGTGTCGCGGGTGCACTGTCTCTCGAGGCGGCACTCGGGATGGTTTCCGGACGTGCCCGTGTCATCGAGGTGAAATGGGGCCGGGACTCCGGGGCTATGCTGGCTATCGAAGCGGAGCAAGAGCAAATCGAGAAGCTGTTGCGTGTAGCCGCGGCGAGGAGCGACGATGAGGGCGCTTCCATCGCGTGCTTCAACGGCCCCACGAGCTTTACCCTGGCCGGATCCACGAACGCAATCGACTCCGTGGCGGAGACACTGTCTGGGAACCCCGAGTTTGCAGGAATCCGGAACAAGAGGATTGACGTTACTAATGCGTTCCATTCCTCGCTCGTGGAGCCGCTGGTGGAAGATCTGGAAGGTGTAGGCGCGGTTCTGCGGTTTAAGCCGCCAGCGATCCCGATAGAGCATGCAACCGAGTTTGAGCTCCCGTCCAAGGAGCTGGGAGCCAAGTATGTGGCCGACCACATGCGGAAGCCGGTCTACTTCTCGCACGCGGTGCGGAGAATCGCCGAGAAATACCAGGACCGTGTCTGGCTCGAAGCGGGATTCAACTCAACCATCACGTCCATTGCCAGCCGTGCCGTGACCCCGTTGAAGAAGGGTTCACACAAATTCCAAGCTTTCAATACGGCTACAGATAACAACAGCAGCCTCGATCTCTTGGTGGATGCGACGCTTCACCTGTGGAACTGGGGGCTGAACGTTTTGTATTGGCCGCACCATGCCTCGCAGAGGGCTCAATATCTCCCCATGTTCCTCCCGCCATACCAGTTCGAGAAGTCAAGACATTGGATGGAGCTCAAGGTAGCCACTAAACCTAACATGCTCGCGAATGGGAACCACCAAACCACCGCCGTGGCCCAACAGCAACAACGCCAGCTGGGACTTTGGTCCCCAGTTGATTCTCAAACTAGCAACGGCAGCTGCAGGCATGCACGGTTCCTGGTCCACACGGCGAGCGCCGAATTCGACGAGCATGTCAGGGCGCACGTCATTGCGCAAACGGCACCGCTCTGCCCCAGCACGCTCCAACTACACATTGCCGTCGACGCCCTGATGAGCATCCAGCCCGATGGTCATGGGGCCTCCCGCCAGCCTCGGCTTCGTGGCATGACCAGCCATACCCCACTCTCCCTCGGCGGAACAGAGCCCGTTTGGCTAGATGCTGAGTCCCTCGACGCGGAGTCGCGGATCTGGGCGTGGAAGATGAGCAGTGCCGAAACCGTGTACGTCTCGGGCACGCTCGTCTTTTCAGCGCCCGACGACCCGGACTGGCGAGACGATTTCTCCCGCTATGAGCGCCTGGTCGGCTGGGACCGCTGTCAGCGGCTGCTTAGCGATGTCGACCCGGACGAGGTCGTCAAGGGCCCTAAGATCTACAGCCGCTTCGCCGATATTGTGCAATACGGGGACATGTACAAGGGCGTAGCCAAAATTGTGGGAAAAGGCACCGAATCCGCAGGCCGGGTCGTGGCGGATATCACTACGCGGAGCAACAGCAGCCACAAGTCGTGGCTTCACACGGGTCTGGCCGACTCGTTTTGCCAGGTAGCCGGCATCTTTGTTAACACCATGACGGACAAGTTGGCGAGCGAGATCTACATATCCGACAGGATTGACCAGTGGTTACGTTCCCCCGATGGCCTCCAAGCGCCTGACGGGGACGGGAGCGTTCGACCCGAGACATGGGAGGTTCTCGCGCTGCATCATCGTCGTTCGGAGAAGGAATATCTCAGCGATGTGTTTATATACGACCCCCGCACCGGCCGGTTGGCTGAAGTCATTCTCGGCATTCATTACCGAAAGATCCCAAAGGCGGCCCTGGCAAAAGCGCTTGCGAAATTTGCCATCTCCAGCGCCGCGGATCCAGTCCGCCAACTTTCTTCCGCTGAGCGCGCAATCGGGGAGACGACGGTTACAAACGGACACTATCACCAAGGTCCGTTGCCACTCCAGTCACATCAGGAGCCGGTTAATGGTGTCAACCAGAGAGAGAGAAAACAGCAGAAGGCTGACTCGGGCATCTCAAACCGGGTCCGGGACATCATCGTGAATCTCTCGGGGCTCGAGCCGGAGCAGATCAAGGCGGATGCGGACCTCGTGGAACTTGGCATCGACTCTCTCATGGGAATGGAATTGGCCCGCGAGATTGAGTCTGCCTTCAAGATCACGCTAAGGAATGACGAGCTGATGGCGCTGACAGACTTCAAGAGCCTAGTCTCCTGCGTACAGAAGCATGCTTCCCCTTCGAACCAGCATGAAGCGCCGGAGGAGGAAGAAGAACACGAAGAGGGGACGAGGCCAGCAGCGCATTCTTCTACTCTTACAGATGGCGTGAATGGTATCAACGGTACCGCCCATCACCACAACGGCATCACCCAGCATAATGTGGACAGCGCCGTCCATTTGCCCAGTGACACTGTCTTGGACGCCTTCGCAGAATGCCGGGAGGCCACCGATGACTTCATACGAGAGTGGAACATGGCTGGCTACGTCGACAATGTGATGACCAAATCGACCGAGCTCTGTGTCGCGCACATTGTCGACGCATTTGAGCAGCTGGGCTGTCGCCTCCGCAGCGCTAAGCCTGGGGAGGTGCTCAGCGGGATCCAGCATCTGCCGCGCCATAAGCAGTTCGTCGAATGGATGTACGAGCTTCTCGAGAAGGAGGCGCGGCTGATCGACATTGGCGCATCCGGCATCATGACACGTACGGCCGTCTCGCTGCCGACCAAGCCCGCCGAATCGCTGTACCGAGACTTGACCAGCAAGTACCCGGAGCACCGGTACGATCACGAGCTTACCTACCTAGTTGGCGGTAAGCTTGCCGATTGCCTGTCGGGGAAGCTGGACGGCCTGCATCTTATCTTCGGGACGCCGCAGGGACGCGAGATCGTGTCGGGCATGTACAGCAAGTCCCCGATCAACCTGGTTTGGGTGAAGCAGATGGAGTTCTTCCTACGCCAGCTCTTCGGCAGGCTGCGGCACGATGAAGGTACAATCCACATTCTGGAGATGGGGGCTGGGACCGGCGGCACGACGGCTAAGATGCTACCGTTGCTTGCTAGCCTCGGCTTGCCGGTGCGGTACACCGTGACAGATCTGTCGTCGTCTCTGGTGGCGGCGGCGCGGAAGCGCTTCGCCAAGGAGTACCCGTTTGTCCAGTTTCGGACGGTGGACATCGAGCAAGAACCCGCGGCAGACCTGTTGCATTCGCAGCACGTCGTCCTGGCGACCAACTGCGTACACGCCACGCACAGCCTAGAGAGGTCAACGAGCAATATCCACAAAGTACTGCGGTCCGATGGGTTCCTGATGATGCTAGAGATGACTTTGCCCGTGCCATGGGTCGATCTTACCTTTGGCCTGATCGAGGGCTGGTGGCTGTTCGACGACGGGCGACGACACGCTCTCGCGCCACCAAACGTGTGGGAGGCGACACTACGTTCCGTCGGGTACGGCCACGTGAGCTGGACGGATGGGCAACTCCCCGAGTCCGAAGTGCAGCGTATCATCATCGCGCTCGCGTCGGGGCCAAGGTATGACCGATCCCACAAACTCCCTCCTTCCAGTACCTCCGCCGCGCAACTTGACAAGCCGTCATCACAACATGAACATCATGATTCAGTCGCTGACATGGTGAAACGCCAAGCCGTCATTGACGCCTACGTCGAACAATATACGCGCGGATTTGAGCAATTCCTAGTGCCCGGTCCGGAAGAGGAGAGGGAGCAAGATGATGAACACCAAGGGGTTGAAGACCGGGAACACGAAGGGTCAGTGGTCCTAGTCACTGGCGCAACTGGAAGCCTAGGTTCCCACGTGGTATCCCATCTCGCCTCCCTGCCGTCTGTCAAGGAGGTCGTCTGCCTCAACCGACGGAGCATTGCCAACGACCCAACGACCCGCCAGTATGATTCCCTGCGGTCCCGTGGCATCGCACTCTCGGAGGAAGCTCTAGCCAATCTCAGAGTGATGGAAACAGACGCGTCCAAGCCCATGCTCGGCCTGTCGGCTACCGAGCACGACCGGCTACGCAAGACGGTCACGCACATTCTCCACAATGCGTGGCCCATGAGCATCACACGCGGCGTCGAGGCCTTTTCTCCCCAGTTCCAGACCATGCAGAACCTGTTAGCCCTCGCCGCAGCCGCGACAGTAAGAAGTAAAAGAAGAATCGGGTTCCAGTTCATTTCGTCCATCGCCACCGTCGGGTGCTACCCCCTTTCCCCCGACGCCGGGGGCGTGACGCGAGTGCCCGAGGAGAGGATGAATCTGAGGGCGGTACTACCGACGGGTTACGGCGATGCCAAGCTGGTCTGCGAGCGCATGCTCGACACCACGCTACACCGCCATCACCCTGAGCGGTTCCGGCCCATGGTGGTGCGCATCGCCCAGATCGCCGGCTCGACCGCCAGCGGGTACTGGAACCCCGTCGAACACTTTGCCTTCATGGTCAAGTCTGCCCAGACCCTGAGGTCGCTGCCAGATCTGAAGGGGGTTAGTGCTTCACCGTTTATGAACTCAGTTTGCCTTTGTCTAACCGTAACTGTATTTAGGATCTGTCATGGTGCCCCGTCAACGATGTGGCCGCCGCTCTAAGCGAGCTGTTGCTTTCCGACCACTCGCCTCACCCCATCTACCACATCGAGAACCCCAGTCGGCAATCATGGGAAGCTATGGTCCGTGTGCTCGCCGACGCGCTCGGGATCCCGCTCGAGAACATTGTTCCCTTCGAAGAGTGGATCCGTCGAGTACGGCGGTTCCCCGGCTCGACCGATGCTGACAACCCCGCCGCGAGGCTTGTTGACTTTCTGGAAAATCACTTCGTGCGTATGTCCTGTGGGAGCCTGGTTCTGGACACGGCAAATGCCACGGAGCATTCGCCCACCCTCCAGCAGCGGGGCCCGGTGACTCCCGACCTGGTGCGGAAATATGTGAATGGGTGGATGGGCATGGGCTTTCTGCGATAACTATTACTAGATAGGTAGATGGGCAGCCATTTCGATTGGCGGCGTTGAATAGAGCGCCAGGAAATTCTTTTGCTGTTAGGTTATTATCTTGCAATGTTGGCTTTCCTACAGTAGCTATATTCAAGTTTCAATTTAGATAGACATCAACTACCTACGAAGCAGAAACTAGTATATCTGGATTTAGAATGACATTCGTTGTGTGGTGTCTCCTGGCAACCAAGGTCCATCTGTTATTTACCAACAGCAGCTCGTCCCCTCCTATGAACTCTACATTGGTTGCTTGAGCTGGCATTGATAGTAACAAAAACATCGACTACATCTCTACCAACCATCTCACTGTCCCAACCTCTCACAAATCCGTAGAATGGATACAACACGATTACGGCAGGAATGAGCCTTTCCTCGTTTTCGTCTATTACTGTCAGATGCGTGTTGATACTAGGTGTCTGAGCGGATTGAATACCTTACCCACGCCATCCCGGTGCAGACAAAGGCTGATGCTGATGACCACTTGACCTTGGCTTGCCCAAACATGGAACAGAATGGAGCTGACTGACACCCAAGCCGCCTTACTCATGCGCTGAGTTCGCTTATGTACGTCGAGTAATTCGGCATAATTCGACCCCCTGGCTGAAACTTATTCCTCCCCGAACCCTGGTTTAGCTTGGCAAGGCGAGTACCGACAGGGCGGCGACCGAGTTCAGCTCGCTGAGCGCTCAAGCCTATGGGATGCTTTTTGACTATAATTGGACGTTTGGACATAAAAACAGGCGGATATTAGGATGAAACCCACCTCCGCCTCGAGAACAACCACGGCACTCGACAGATTAGCTGTATCAACGCACTGAACCCCAGTTACTCGACCATGCAGTTCAAGTTATCTCTTGCAAGTGTAGCGCTCTGCCTCGTCGGAGGCAACGCACTCGTCCATCCGGGGTCGAGCTCAACGTCCTACGGCATTAACAAACGACAGGACGACTGTCTGACCGCCAAAGAATCGCAGACGCTGGCTGAGGACTTTGCGTGGCTGGTTGCCTCGTGGAACGTCAACACCACGTACAGCGAAGCGCTCCTCAACGCCACGTACGCCGAGAACCTTCACGACTGGTCCGACAGCATCCGCGTCATGGAAAGTGCTGGCTGCACCAACGGTCCGGAGCCCCTCGCCAACAGCCGCGCCGAGTTCGCCGTTGACCAGGCCACACTGGAGCCATTCGAGTTTGATGTGCTCAAGGTGTGGCACAGCTGCGACGAGGTGACGTTCTTGTGGCAGCACCCTAATTCGGCCGGACACCGGGTGCGTGGGATTGTCCTCTTGGAAACCGGCTGGGAACGGGGAGCGTCCGAGGGGAATAGGGGTGGCGGTGACAAGAGGCTCGTCAAGACGGTCTATTCTGAATTCAATACCGTCTCGTGGTTCACCAACACGGGCGTCTTCACCCCGGCCAACTGCACTGGCCATGCCCCGCCGCTGCAGTCTTGAACGCACTTGGCGGGTTCAGGTTACAGAAAGAGAGGAGGGGGCCGGTGGCTTGAGCGCGGCAGATGATAGTCTGATTGTCATGTAGTTCTTAAAAAAAATCAGGATACCTATATTGTTGAGCACGAGTTTATGGATAATTGGATTTACGAATCTCGTTGTATAAGTCCGCGTGGAGTATCTTGCCGGCGTCTTTCATTCGCCTCTAACGGCCGTTATCTACGTGCTGTCATCATTGGCGGGGGGGGGGGGGGCGGGGGGGGGGGGTTCGGGATAACACTGGGCGAGATCCGTCACTCCCGAAGGAGTTTGCCGACGTCCGTGTGTGAGCTCGATGGCCGAGGATGTGATTCTTGGTTCAGGGACCATGGCAGTTGGCCCAGCCAACGAATCCATGATCCCGCTTCGAGCTGCTCGGCAGTTACCCCTTGCACTGGGCCCACGGCAAGGCGAACCGAGTTTTACCTCCAAGAAAGTCGCCGTGGTTGCATTCCGGCGAGGGGCTTCCAGGGGTTCCCCGCGTGGTTCGACCTCGACACTCACAAACTGGGGTAGCCAAGGTTTATTTCGACCAACCGGCGATTTATGGCCCTAACCGGAAACGCTCAGGTATGTATGTACCAGGTACAAAATTCAAAAGTCTCGGTTGCCTCGTCCGGGGCCGGACGTTGGCATGTCGATAGGTAGCTGGTGAAGAGGTGTATAAAACGGCTCATGGTCTACGGCATTCAGTAACGTGGGGTTACTCACCGTACCTAGGAGCAGCAAATTGGCCCTCCATCCATTCACCGACGACCTCTCCTCTTGTCTTCCCTACTTAACCAAAGACCACAATGCGCTTGGGGTATTCTCTCTTACCTGGCTCGCAGGGGCAGCGTGGGGTCAGCAGTCCATATGCGATTCCGAATGTCAAAAGGGCTGTGACGCGGCCTGCCAACAGGTTATCCAGGCAAGCTTCGAAGCCGAGTCCAGGCTGTGGGTAAACGACATCGTGAGTGACCCGTTCTACGCAACACCGGCCAACATCTCAGGTGCCGTACCCGGAGATATCCTTCGCTGGGAGGACATTCCCACCGGGCAGCTCACTGCCAACTGGACCATTCCTGCTGGCCTGACCCTCTCCCGTTTCATGTACGTGACGGAGGACGTCAACAACAAGTCCATCCCGGCCACCGCCTGGGTCCTGCTCCCATTTCACCACACACTGCAGACACCAGGCGAGGTGCGAAAGCTCCGCACCCTCGTCTGGACACACGGCACGGCGGGGCGCAGCCGCCTCTGTTCGACGACTAACAACAGGGGCCTGTACTACAACTGGCAGGCTCCTTTCACCCTCGCCGAGTCTGGCTACGCCGTTATCGCCCCGGACTACGCCGGCCAAGGATCTGATATCCCCCAAGGATTCATGTATGAGGCCGGCTTCCTCCACGCCGCCGACGTGGCCTACTCGGTGATCGCTGCCCGCAAAAACATCGGCAGTATCCTCAGCAACAAATGGGCGGTCTTCGGCCATAGCGAAGGGGGCATGACGGCCTGGCGCACCAACGAGCGACTGGCCCTTCCGGGAGAAGAGAGGCTTCTCAAAGCCGGGCAATTCATCGGCGCCGCGGCAGCGGCCCCCGCCCTGCGCCCACAGCGCCTGATCCCCCTTTCCTGGGAGCAAACCGGCACCGGCGGTGGACCCTTCTCAATCTACTTCATCCAGTCCCTCGCCAAGCTCTATCCAGACCAAATCAAGCTCGAGGACTACGTGGGCGAGGCCGTCTTGCAGCGGCTTGGGGTCCTAGACAATTCCTGCTTCCAGACCGGCTACGCCGCCGTCGGCCCGCTTAGCCCCGACGTTACGTTTACCAACAAGAGCTGGGTAAAGCACCCGGCCACCGACGACTGGGCGGTGCGTTACAACGGCCAGGGCCCGCACCCGCTGGCCGCGCCCATGCTGGTTGTGCAGGGGGTTGCCGACGTGATCACTCCTGCTCAGCTGACCATGGAAGACTTTAACCTCACGTGCAAGACGTATCCAAAGAGTGTCGTGCATACGAAGTTGTATCCTGATATGGGTCATGACCAAGTGCTGGAAGCGGGAAGGGCGGATGTCGCGGATTGGTTGGAGGCGAGGTTCCAGGGGAAGGTGTCAAAGAAGGGGTGTATGATGGAGGAGGTTAGGCCCTTGACGCGGAGGTACTCCCAGGGAACGCTTTTCTGGGAGGCGAATGTTGTTGAGTTTTGAGTGCATTACGGTGAAATGGAGTTACCCGCACGAGCGTGCCAGACTGGACTATGGGACACACACACACAATTCATCCGCCAAGGGGGCTTAACCGAAAAGGACAACTGATTCCAATTCAACTATACATTCCAGGCTGACGGCCCGCTGGGCGTTGCTTCCAATCGACAGTGTGTTTGGCACTCGTCCCTGAAATATCTTCACATACAGAGACTGCTGGCGAATAATAAGCATGCAATTCGACTATCTAAAGCATCACTGGCCGTGTCCTAACATCCGTCCAATCGAGACAATCCTCATCACTAGCTCGGCGCTCTCCCTCGTTAGACTTTCTGCCTCTTCGACCGCATCGTCGAGCGTCATGGGTCGCTGGAGGATGCAAGTAAACGCGTCGATGCCCACGTCGTAGTTGACCCGTGCACCAGGTCCGATCGTCCCCGCGATGGCAATTACTGGCAGTCCATGTTTCTTTGCCAATCGTGCCACCTCAGCGGGGATCTTATCGCGGGGCGTCTGGTAATCGATGCCGCCCTCAGCTGTCACCACTAGGTCGCACTCGTCAAACATGCCCCGCAGGTTGATGTACTGCTTCACAATCTCAAAGCGCGGCTGTAGGCGCGCCCCAATCAACCGGAGACCCGTACCCAGGCCTCCAGACGCGCCGCCCCCGGGTGCCAGGCGCACGTTTTCGTCCTCGAGTATGTGAGAGGACACGTCTGCCAGGGCTTCCATGGCCTGGGAAAGACGAGCCGTCTGCGCAGGTGTGGCTCCCTTCTGCGGACCGAACACGTTGGAGACGCCGTTGGGACCGCAAAGTACGTTGTGCCAGTTGACCGCAACGTCAATTTTCGTGTGTTGGAGGCGTCGGTCCACGGCGGAGAGGTCAATGGAATGGAGTGCCAGAAGCGACTCGCCACCTTGAGCAATAGGGAGAGGCGCCCCATGGGCATCCAGAAGACGAGCCCCCAAAGCCTGGAGCATGCCGGCGCCGCCGTCACAGGTGCCCGAGTCCCCGCAGCCAACCAGAATACGGGTGGCTCCAGCATCCAGCGCGGCAAGAATCAGCTCACCCACGCCGTACGTCGTCGTGACCCCTGGGTTGCGGCAGTCGGAGGGCACGAGGCTCAACCCGGCGGCGGCAGCCATCTCGATGACGGCTGTACAGGGCTCCCCGTCTTCACGGTGACCCAAAACGCCAATGAAGGACTTGATGGGCTGGCCAAGCGGCCCGCAGACGCTGACCGGCTGAATGACGCCATGCGTGGCCGCAACCAGGGCGCGGGTGAAGCCCTCGCCTCCGTCGACGAGGGGCACTTTGCGGACGACGGCCTGTGGTTCAACGGCAAGGATGCCGTCCTCGATGCAGTTGGCAGCCGTAGTAGGCTGGAGACTGCCCTTAAAGCCGGACGGACAAACAAGAATTCGAATGGGGTTCTTGGAAGCAACGGACCAGGCAGTCATGGTGTAAAGCGAAGGTAGCTTGGTATGGTTTAAAAACGAATGTATTAAGGGTAAAAGCGAGTGTTAAGCGTGTGTACTAAAGCGAGTGTTAAGTCGAATAATGTGTTTGGTTAAGACATTCTGAAAGCAAGAGAAAACGTCCATTCGGGTTGTTCAATATATAGATATTTCCAGCTCAACCTGTTTTATTGCCAAGTTGTACACCCAGCCTCCCATCATGCGACCCCGTCGACTTAGTCTGCAATCTGCATTTTTGCTTCACCACCGCAATGGCCTAGCTGGTACCTAAGGTAAGACAGGCATTCAAGCCCATCCGCCCGTCTTTCTCAAAGGTGGAAAAACAAGCACCTGCTAATGCTCTAGCCACCAAGTAAAAGCCGCAAGATCTCGTGTTCTCCCTCATGGCCACGTCACCGACAGTGCCCTAGCACAGGGCTGAGACGGCGAAGAGGGGAACAGCTAACCAAGCCCTCTACCAGTCTTTGAGCCGGACAACGCCAAGTACTTCTGGGCGTTCCACAAGATTAATCCCCATAATCTTTAGGAGACGACGGCCTTAACCCAACTTGCGTCGCCAAACAGCACATTCCATGCCGCAGACTCTTTTCATTTCTTTATTTAGCAGCACCCGCGGTTCCTGGCCAGCGGTGTGTTGGAAGTGGGGTTGGGGTCGACGTCTCGATGGTGCTTGGCGGTTGAGGCTTTTGGCTTGGTCGACTGCTTCAGCCACAATGGTGACGACTGGACCTGAATAAGCTAGCGATCGCAGATCCCACTAGTGTTGGGCCATTATGGTAAGTTTACACGTGCCACTTGGTTTGTGTCTAGCGCTGCAGCATGCCGCCTCCCCCCGCGCAGACACTGTTAATGGAGATAGTACGAGTCGCTTGTTCCAGTGGCTGTGTGTATTCGCTGTGTCCTTTGTCATGTCGGCTGCCCGAGGCTGTGCGCTCCGAGTCATGAACCGACAGACTAAATCTTTGATAGCTTCGGCCGTGGTGATAAAGGGCCCTTAGGGGCAGGCTAGATTTGCTCCTGTTTTCTTACTGTTGTGACCAAGTCATTCGTTGACCCTACATTCGCTTGCCCCTACTCTCGCTTTTGAAAAGGGATACGTCCAGATCGCTACAGACCCGTTTGCAACTCTTAATTCTTTCGTTATCGCCAGGCTACTTCGAAGACGGTCCTGTATTACGCCGTACCCGTTCGTTACTATGAGCAGTTCCACGCCGTTGCAGAGGTCAAGCTCTCGCGCCTCCATTTGGCGCTCATGGAGCCCCTTTAATCCTCTCTCCAACTACGAAAGATCGCTCCACAACTATCCCTGGCTTAGCATCGACGAGGATGAGAAGCACGAGCCGTTGCAGGCAGCCGAGTTTACTGATTACCCCCCTCCATCTTCTCCGCCTCTCCACCCAGCCCAACGCTTGCCGTCGCTCGTCGATGATTTTGAGCGCGCTAGTCATGAGGAGGCGTCTCACCGGCGCCGGCTCGATTTGGAACAGGGCTCAGAGACAGTAGAACCCGAACCACTGCTCGACGTTCAGGACCCGGACCCGAACCTGGTAAGAAGATACTTCCCACCTTGATTCTCTAGACAGACGAACTCTGGCCCGCTCACATGGCTTGCGATTAGGTAACTTGGGACGGTGACGACGATCCGATGAACCCGCACAACTGGAGCCGCCACAAGAAATGGATCTCCACACTGCTCGTTTCGTGTTTCACCTTCATCTCACCCGTCTCCTCGACCATGTTGGCGCCCGCGCTGCCCGATATACAAAAGGAGTTCAACATCACCTCTGACTTTGACGGCTATCTCATCATGTCCATCTTCCTACTCGCCTACGCCGTCGGCCCCTTCCTACTTGCCCCGCTTTCCGAAATGTACGGCCGCGTTGTCGTCCTTCAGTCGGCTAATATGATCTACCTCATCTTCAACACCGTCTGCGGCTTTGCCCAGACCCGCGAGCAGCTCCTCGTCTTCCGGTTCTTGAGCGGCCTCGGGGGCAGCGCCCCGCAAGCGGTATGTTCATTTTCGTGGATCCGCATGGGGTTCACAACGTATTCTTTAGTGTTCGAAGCTGACGTGGCTTGGCCGTCTTGTTAAGCTCGGCGGAGGCGTCCTCAGTGACTGCTGGAGGCGCGAAGAACGCGGGACGGCGGTTGCCATCTACAGCCTCGCACCTTTCCTCGGACCGGCTGTAGGGCCCATCGGTGAGACAAACCGTTGGCATGTTCTTTTGACTAGTAAGAATTTGGCTGACGAGATGGGACTGATACAAATAGCCGGCGGTTACCTGACGCAGTACATGAACTGGCGCTGGATATTTTGGGTTGTGTCTATGGCGGACGCCGTCGTACAAGTTCTCGCGTTTCTATTCCTAAGCGAGACATACCCCCCAAAGATCCTCAAGGTTAAGGCAAATCGGCTGCGCAAAGAAACTGGAAACAAAGCTCTGCACACTGAGTTTGAATCTCCGGACCGGACTTTCTTCCAGTCCTTGCGTAAGAACTTAATGAGGCCGTTTATTATGCTGTTTACGCAGCCGACAATCCAGATTACTGCCTTGTATAGGGCGTACTTGTACGGGTTAATGTATCTCGTGTAAGTTTGGTTAAGCAACCCCAGGATTGATCATCTCCCTAGACGACCAGATCTAACCGCGATATATAGCTTCGCGTCGTTCCCTATGGTCTGGGAGAAGCAGTACCAGCAAGAGCCTAGCCGAGCTAGTCTCAACTACCTTTCCCTCGGCGTCGGCTTCGTCATTGGTCTTCAAGTGTCCGGGCCACTTATAGACAAGGTAAACGCATTTGTATTGGCGTGTTCAAAGGAAATTCATTGACACTCGAGTGCTCCCAGGTATACTGTCACCTCAAGGCCCGGTTCGACCACCCAGGGCGGCCCGAGTTTCGCGTTCCCCTAATGTTCCCGACGGCGCTCATCACCCCGGCGGGCTTGATAATGTATGGCGTGACGGCGCACCTGCAACTGCACTGGGCACTGCCCAACGTTGGGGCGGGCATCTTCGCAGCGGGCCTGATCCTGTCCTTCCAGTGCGCGCAGACGTACGTGGTGGACTCGTACGAGCGCTACGCAGCCAGCGCGACCGGCGCTGCGGCGTTTGTGCGCACCATGGCCGGCTTCAGCTTTCCGCTCTTCGCGCCTAAGCTGTACGAGGCGCTTGGCATTGCCTGGGGGAATGCCGTGCTCGCGGGGACCGCTGTTGTGCTGTGCCTGGCTGCACCGATGGTGCTCTGGCGATGGGGCGAGTGGATTCGTAGCAAGAGTACGTACTGTGCCGATTAATCAGCGAGCAGTTGCTGGATGATTGTGTTAATCTGCATGTATATATGAGTTTGTATATAATGTAATTATTCGAAGCACCCTGCGATTATGGGCATCATATAATCAACCTCATATCCTTGTACGAACAGGCCAAAACAGGCGGATGCAGATGTGTTGGGCATAAATTGGGTACCTTATCGGGACATGGACGTAAACGCCGACCGGAGATGGTCATATGAGCTTGTCTAACGATATGGACAACATAATTAGCTATGTTACTCAGCCCCTGCTATCAGAGCAAAGTGATCCAACTTGTCGGAGAGCACTGCATCGTCACGATCCGTGCTGACGGTGACGTCGTCCCACCGATCCATCACTACGGCCTCCTGTTGTCTTTTGATCTTCCTCCATCGAAGAGAATCCGAACCCAGAGCAATCCGTGAAGACCAAACCCTGCCAGCCGCCATACCCTCGCCCTTGACGACATCAGCCATTGCCTTTGCGACCTTGGCAGGGTCTCCCGGAGGCATTCCCCATTCGGCCAGAACCTGCGAGGCAGCGGTAAACCCTGGCACGTATGCTTCGGTGGGACTCTTGTCCGTCTTGTTCTGCTCCGACGCAACCTTGTCCTTCTCGCGCGGTTCGAAGAGGCGCGTGGCAACACCGCCGCACTCAAAGGCGACGCAACGGATGCCGAGAGAGGAGACCTCTTTGTGAAGTGATTCGGCAAGGGAGCTGTTTGTCCACTTGGTCATGTTGTAGTAAGTCGTGTACGGCATGTTGCCCCAGAGTTGGTTCGAGGCCGTGAAAGTGATTGTTCCTGATCCCTGTTGGCGGAAGAATGGGAGAATGGCCCGCGTCATGTGGAGCTGACCGAAGACGTTGGTTTGGAAGATGCGTTCTGCGTCGTCATCGCTGCGCAAAGCACCAGAGTCAGCTGATGAGACCCGATCTCAAAGATGGACTTGACGTACCTGATATCCTCGAAGGGGCCGAACAAGAATGTGCCAGCATTGTTAACAAGAACATCGATGTGTCCGAAAATCTGCCAGGCCTCCTTGACTTTGCTTGCAATGACCTTGGAACCAGACGTGATGTCGAGCTCAAGAAGCGACACATTCTCCGAAGCGCGATCGGCCATCTGATCGACCTGTCTGTTGGCAGCAATCACTTTGTCGCCTCGACGGACGATTTCCTCGACGAGTGCGGCTCCAATTCCCGCCGAGGCTCCTGTTACAAGCCATACAAGAGGTGCCATTGTCGCGAACTGCAGTGCTTCAACGGGAACAATGAGGATAAAGGAAGAGAAATCGAACTGGTGAGATACGCAGTGAAAAGTATGAAATAGACTTTCGTAGTATTCCTGTTTAGAATATCTCGATCCATGACGAGGAGACTCTTATATACCGGATCGGGCACACGTGTGGGCTCCCATGATCAGGTCCGACCGAGGCGAACCGATCAAACGGAAAGGTTCGTCCGCGGACAAACAAGACGCTTAATAAACAAGCCAAGAACTTTCCCGACAATCCCTGGAGATTTTCGAGTCAGACCCGACGGGTATTGGTGGAACACATCGGCCCGAGTCGCTGGCTTGGCCATTTCGTCCGCGGACGAATTCGCCCATCCGCGGCAACCCGCAGCCAGCATCACTTCGACCGCGCACAGGGACTCGGTAGGTGGGCTATCCGTCCGAACGTCTCAAGCATGGTACGCGGCTCCCCGAGGATGACTGCATCTACGTCTGCACCCGCGTCCTCGTCCTCGACGCCGACACGCAAGACCATGCGGAAAGGGACGCATAGCTGCACAGAATGCGAGTACTTCCCTCCCATGTCCAACTACTCCGACGCGCCAGCTCATGCGCATTCGTCTAGGTCGCCGTCGAAAGATTCGGTGCGACTCGATTCCAGGGGCTTTAGTTTGTTTCAACTGCAAATCTCGTCGCACACCATGTGTAAGCCAGAGCGGTGATGGCACGAGACTGGATGTTCGTCAGCGTCCAGAATCCGACTCTCCAAGAAACACCGGCAGTGAGGCCCCGACGTTGGCGGCAAGGCATCAAGGCGCCCCGCAGGCGCCAGACGCTCTTGAAAACAGTGTTACAGATCAGCGAGCACCCTTCCTCGCGGTTCTGGACCCGTCTGGAGTAAGTCTCCCATTTTGGCGTGTAGTTATACGTTCGGCAAACTTAACGAGCAAGCACAGCTCTCCAAATCTCCCGAGACGGACGATGTCAGTCCGTCGTCTCGGCCACGTCTGGCCGGGGACGGCAGTGGGTCTCACTCATCAACAGGTGACCGTAGGTCATCTCGTGTTTCGAGCACATTGCCTGAGCCACTCTCACCCGGCCAGGGGGAAAGTATATGCGAGGCACTACGTGCAGGATTACCGTCTTACGATTCTATCATGAAAGTTGCATTGGCGCACAAAGGCTGGTGGGTTCGAATACACCGAGCCGTTCGTGGCATGTATGACGAAACGATTGAGCCTTTCCCAGACTTTGTCAGGCGAGCCTACACGAGCGATCGGCCTTCAGAACTGGGCAAGATGGCGATTGCTTTCGCTTTTGTTTCTGATGTTGATGGGTCCCATATCTACACCTTGGTTGACCGCTTCGTTGTCTCGGACATGGTGCATATGTCTACTGCGGAAGGCTTGGAGTGCCTGATTTTGCTGGCCGTTCTCTATGCGGACGAGGGCCAACCCAGAAGATCATGGATGATCTATCGCAGAGGAGTATTGGTTGCCCATTTAACGGTATGTTAACATCCTGTTCCGGAGACGAGTGCTGGAGGCTGATGATGCCAAAGGACCTGTACCAAGCTGGCCTCCGATCAACACCCAAGAGACGGCTTTGGCTATCCATCTACCAAGGAGACCGCATAATGAGCATGTTCCTCGGGCTGCCGTACGGCTTTGTAGACATGCACCATCAGCAAATCCTAGAGGTGAAGCCCGAAAATGACTACTTGGATTCGACCATGACCATCCGCTGTGCGATGATAGCCGGAAAAGTCATTGACCGAAACCACTCGCGTACAAAGGCTTCCATCTCCAAGACACTCGAACTAGACGAGGAGATGAATGAACTTGCAACGTCTTTCCCAGAAACCTGGTGGGAGCTTCCTGGCCGGGTCCAAGCCGATGGCCACGATTTCGACGAAGTCCATGTCCGGCTACACCAGCAACTCTTCTTCTTCCACCTGCGGCTCTACATTTACCTGCCGTTCCTCAGCGGTTCCAAAGAAAACTCTGTGCACGGTTCAATCGTGCGCGTCGCCAGCATGGAGGCTGCACGACAGCTGCTGAGGCGCTACTTGAGTCTGCATAGTGACGCGGAGGGGCCGAGCCCATCTGAGTGTAAGCTCGTGGACTTTATGGCATTTACCGGTGCCATTGTCTTACTTCTAGGGTGCTCAAGGTCCTCCGGCCCAGGGATGTTAAGTGATGGGAATGACATCGAGGCAGTGCTATCTTTGATTCGGTGCTTGCAACGCCAGGAAAAACAAGAAAGCTGTCCCATCGCGTCGCAATGTCGCAAGACGCTTACGGTGCTGCTCTCGAGATCGAGCACGGACGACGAAGTCCGTATTCCGTTCTTTGGCACAGTCGTCAGAAAAGGCGACCAAACCATCGAGCAGACCGCTCCAGCTAATCGAAGCTTTATAACAAACTCAAATACAAGTGAGGGCTATACTTTACCTGCTGGCCAACTATCCTCGTCGACGACTGGTACTGGCTCTGCTCCCGCGAGTGAAGATATAGCGCTACCGAGTTCTGTGTATTTGGAGGCACCGTGGGGGATAGAGTACCCCGGACACATGCCAGACCTGGACTTCTTGTCCTATCTAGAGGACGTGTCGGCGGATTTCGACCCGGGCTGGGAGTTCATTATGGACCTCGATAGCTTCTGAATTAGCTTGGAGTTTAACAGTATTCTACATTCTATCTCATTGGAATCATCACCTCTTATAGTAACTAGTTACTTTGCTATCTCTAATCAATTTAGTTTCTATGAAGACTTTAGCCCTCATTCCTTCTTATTACGGTATGTACAAGTGGCCTGCGATGCCGAGACTACGGCTGTATATTGAACATCCACTACCTAGACTGGGGCATTGACTGACAATAGTAATTTATCCGTAATAGTTCACTTATAACTCCCCCTACCTCGTTCTTGGGCAAAGGTTATAACCTAAAGACTATAACTTGGGAGCGATAGGGTGGACTAGTGACAAATAAAGAGGGAATAACGGAGTGGATCGGATGAGGGGATGGAGTGGCCCCGACCAAGTTCCATACCTTCGTTGACCCCTTTTGTATATACAATTTATTCTCTATTGATAATTTAATGGGCATCCCGAGCGGACACCTCGGATCCTGTTCTCTATTTCCTCGCATTGCCACGTCCAGGGCATCCAATGGACGTCACTCAGGGGCTGCGTAATGTAGGTCGTCGCCAGCTCGGCCGAGCCTTGCGTTGTCTGGCACAGTACAGCTACATTAGACATCGAAGCTCCCCTCAGCTTCCCCACCCGTTTCTATATCTCAGCAATTTATAACTTACCTAATATACTATAACAACCCTTCTATACTATACTATAGCTGCTACTACTCCCCCCTTCCAATATACCCCCCTCCCTACCCCTAACTCTATCCACCTCCTTATCCTCTCCCCCTCCCCATCCCCTACCATACCCCTCTATATATACCTCCTCCCTACTACCATCTATACCTGCTTTACCAACCTCTATACAGGCTACATCGCCCTATCCTATATCTAGGGTAGCAGACCCAAACTGCTACAGCCCATCCAGGGACTGGATCACGCTCAACATCACTGTAGAAGCTGCTGGGTTACTTAGGGTTACTTAGGGTTAGGGTTAGTTACTCAATAACCACTTTAGGGCTTAAGGTTAGGGTCAAAACAGTTAAAAGCTAAGTTACTTTAATTTATCTAAATAATACCTTATCTAATCTATATAGATCTGAAGTCCCTATATTCCTAGCTATTTTGGTTATTTAATTATATATTTCTAAATACTTTCCTTATTTTGTTGATTTCAGTGTGCCAAGATCCAAGGTCCACATTTTACCCAGAAAAAACCCAAACTAGCTAGCCGCCCCACAGCCCCACCCAGAAAAAACCTAAACTAGTTAGCTGCCCCACAACCCCACCCAGAAAAAACCTAAACTAGTTAGCTGTCCCGCAACATCTTGATGCACCCAATTAGACGGTATCCTCTCCCAGAAAAAACCGAGACAAGCGAACTGGCCCACAACATCTCGATGCACCCAATTAGATGGCATCCTCTCCCAGAAAAAACCGAGACGAGCGAACTGGCCCACAACATCTCGATGCACCCAATTAGATAGCATCCTCTCCCAGAAAAAACCTAAACTAGTTAGCTGCCCCACAGCCCCACCCAGAAAAAACCTAAATAAGTTAGCTATCCTATAATATCTCGATGCACCCAATTAGATGGCATTCTCTCCCAGAAAAAACCGAGACGAGCAAACCGGCCCACAACATCTCGATGCACCCAATTAGATAGCATCCTCTCCCAGAAAAAACCGAGACGAGTGAACTGGCCTACAACATCTCGATGCACCCAATTAGATAGCATCCTCTCCCAGAAAAAACCGAGACGAGCGAACTGGCCCACAACATCTCGATGCACCCAATTAGATAGTATCCCGATATCTTATGTAAGAATTTCAAGAAGCGGGGAAACCTCTTCCTCACCGATATATGCTACCCTTAATCTCTCAGGAATTAGAGAAATCACTCAAACAAACATACCTTTTTCAGATCACCAGTATCTAAGATGGGCCGACCGAGGAAATACCTGAATCCTAGCGATGCTAAACTTGCTAAACGCGAGCAAGACCGTAAAGCGGAGTTACGTCGCCCAATACGTACAGCTCCAAATCCAGGACTTCAATTCTGTTACTATCAACCTGTCCCCCCGCAAACTCAGATCAATGTGATAAACCCTCGGGTTGGACTTGCCGTTAACAACGACATTACGCTTCCTGAGCCTCCTCATGAACCGTTATCCTCTAGCCAAGCTCAACAATTTACACCATTTGGGTTTCACGCTGTAGATTATAACAGTGAGGACCTAATACCTGTAAGAAATCCAACCAGTGATTCTATAATAAACGTTGAATTAAGTTCTTCTTCCTAATACCTTTTCTATAGCTACAAGCCCCCATCCATCCGCAGTTTAGCACCGCACCGCCCGCTCCCGGACCGCCGGGTCCCGCACAGCGACAAGCCCCCATCCATCCGCAGTTTGGCACCGCACCGCCCGCTCCTGGACCGCCGGGTCCCGCACAGCGACAAGCCCCCATCCATCCGCAGTTTGGCGCCGTACCGCCCGCTCCTGGACCGCCGGGTCCCGCACAGCGACAAGCCCCCATCCATCCGCAGTTTGGCGCCGTACCGCCCGCTCCCGGACCGCCGGGTCCCGCACAGCGACAAGCCCCCATCCATCCGCAGTTTGGCGCCGCACCGCCCGCTCCCGGACCGCCGGGTCCCGCACAGCGACAAGCCCCCATCCATCCGCAGTTTGGCGCCGCACCGCCCGCTCCCGGACCGCCGGGTCCCGCACAGCGACAAGCCCCCATCCATCCGCAGTTTGGCGCCGCACCGCCCGCTCCCGGACCGCCGGGTCCCGCACAGCGACAAGCCCCCATCCATCCGCAGTTTGGCGCCGCACCGCCCGCTCCCGGACCGCCGGCTCCCGCACAGCGACAAGCCCCCATCCATCCGCAGTTTGGCACCGTACCGCCCGCTCCCGGACCGCCGGCGCCCACACCGCAACAAACACAATCAGGCCAGATGCAACCAGAAACCCACATCAACATCGGCCTTCAGGATCTATATCTCGATGATATATTTCCAATCCTTCCAGAGCAGCATACAGACCTCGAACAACTTATGCAAGAACGACAGCGAATGGACGATGAACTTGCCGAACTTGTTGAACAACAGCTTGCAATAATTTCTCCAAACGAAGGGCAACAAGAAACACAAGGTCAAAGCATACCTCAACCACCAATCTCTCGGACACCAACCTCACGCTCCCGACAGCTTCAAAAAGCAGCTCAAGGATCTCGCGATATTCGATCAATGTTTAATCGACAGCCATCACCTCGAAGCCAACAAACAGCGAGTTCCCCAATTCGCCCTCTACAACGTCCAAGCCTAGGAAGTGCAACTGGAGTCCTTGGGTTGTTACCCTCTAGCCCTATAGCCGGTATCGGCTCCCCAGCCCAGAGCTCCGCAGCTAGCTCCCGGGCCCAGAGCCCCGCAGCCGGATCCCGGGCCCAGAGCCCCGCAGCCGGATCCCGGGCCCAGAGCCCCGCAGCCGGATCCCGGGCCCAGAGCCTCGCAGCCAGATCCCGGACCCAGAGCCTTGCAGCCAGATCCCGGACCCAGAGCCCTGCAGCCAGATCCCGGATCCAGAGCCAGAGCCCCGCAGCCAGATCCCGGATCCAGAGCCAGAGCCCCGCAGCCAGATCCCGGATCCAGAGCCAGAGCCCCGCAGCCAGATCCCGGATCCAGAGCCAGAGCCCCGCAGCTGGTGTTGGTCTACCCCTTCCTACTTTTCTCATCCAACGCCTCAAACGATTTCCAGCATGTCAACTCATTAAACATCACGAGACTGATAGTCTAACTCCGGCCCATCTGGCATTGCACCACAAGGATGGAGTTTCACAAACTTGCGGGTCACTTCATACTATCGCCAACCATCTCTGGAGCCAGCCAAGCCGCTCTAATCTAGGAGACAATATCGACCCCGAGCCCCGAACTCTCCCAAACGTCCTAGACTCGGGACGTCTTGGCCTTGCAGAGTATCCACCAAACCTCGACTGTCGTACCGCATTTGAAGGGTTTGACTCCCGGGTCCCAGACACTACCCCACCTCGACTTTGCATGTCAACTCAGCACAGCCGAACAACTCAGACAACAGAGCCATTCTTTACATCTTTCGATATCGATAGTATCTGTGCCTTTAGCGACACTCTTGCTTCCTGCCGCCAGGGAATCCGATGGTTTGGCGATATGTACACCCATCTCAACATTACCGCCAACGTCCACCTTGGCCTATCGGTACCCCCAGAGGTAACCTCTACGGATACTCGATGGCGGACTGTCCCTCTCCATACGATCCCACATTACGCTTTTGGCCAAGTGTCTGGTTGGGATACGATGATCGTCCACATCTTCTTCCCTCGCCTCTATAAGGACGCCCATCGACAGAGCAAACCCCTCGAACTTACCCTACTATCTGGCGATCAGTATTCTCTCTGGGTTGATGCCGTCGTTCTCCCCGCAATTGCAGACGCTTGTAGCGTTAAAGACGAGAATGGAAACCTTGTTCCAGACGCCAACGTCCTACAACATCTCCCCCCATCACGCCAAGCAGCAGCCTACAACACATCGGCACCCACTGAGCATGCAGCTCGAACCTCGAAACAAAGTACCGAGAGCACCACCTCTCGACGCCAGATGGTCACAACCCTCATTGGAGCCTCTACCACGCAACGATTAACCGATTTCATCCGGAAACGGATAGAGGATAACCCGGAATGTCAGATCTTTCGAGACTTTGTACTCTATTTTAACTGTAAGAACACCAAGCTGCAGTTTATGGCATCCGATAACCTCGACCACTCCTCGCCACCATCTGGAGCACTCCCACGTGTCGGCCAGCAGTTCCTCGAATCCTGGGCGAAGTGCCTTGACGACGAGACATTAGACCCCACGCGCGTTTTTATCGACCTCGGAAAACAGGTGACCGCAACACCTTCAGCACTCCCCTATGATAGTGGGAGTAAGCCAGCCTCTACCTTTCTCTATCGGAAATGCTGCCTTCAAGCCGCTGTTGATGATCGAGAAGAGTGGCTTGCACAGCAAATTCCGCAAGCAGAGGACCACCAAGCCTCACCAACCCCGCCAAGCCCCAGAGCCCCGCAGCAAAAC